CATTATTTTCCATTTACTGTACGATACTGTGTCAAATCTACGATAATGTGTAAAAGATATGCCATTGCGAAAAGATATGCCAAAATTATTAGTTGCTATTATTACTTATCCAACGAAGACTTCATCTGTGGCCGATATATGGCGTCACCTCTGATCATTTTCTTCACTATTGAAGACTTTGCACTTTTATTACAAGTGCACAGGACTTTTCCATTTTATGGAATTTAACGAACTTTTACAGGTCCTTAGGGGACTGATAAACATGTAGTGGTAAAAGCCCTCGGGTCGAACACCCCTTAACGAATGATGATCTCCGGTCTCCGAAAACAAATAGCCACCAAGAAAATATTTCTGAATATTTTTTATCAACAGGCTAAAAGATTTAATTTGTGTGAAACTATTTGTTTTTACGTCTGTAGCGTAAGTTTCGGTAATAACGCTATCAGCGTAAAAACACGCCATTGGAATTATATTAAGACCATCCGATTTTTTTTTTCCTTTTTTTTAGGTCATTTTCATAATTATAATTCGTTTGAAACATAATCTAAAATTTAATGGCGTTTAAATGCGAAATTCAAACAGACAAAATATTTGAGGAAACGGATGTTATTGTGTTACTTTCGAAATATTTAAATGTGGGTAATTTCATTGTTTGTATTAGTATTAAAGTTATGTAAATTTACTGTTCGCTTATAATTTGCTAAATTTTTTGCAGCCTTTAGATAGTCTTCTACGATGTCAAATCTGTTTTGAATACTTCGACACTTCCATGGTAACGAAATGTAGTCATAACTGTGAGTATCAAAATAAAATGTAGTATCTAAATTTTATTAAATATTTTTTTCATACTTGGAAATTGAATTATTTATACTGCGTTATTGAAAATATGTATAACTGTGCAATGTGATGTACATTATTAAGTGTCTTTAAAAAAATTATAGTGATGATCCCAGTTGCCAACTGTGTATTAAAATCTGTACCTTTATTTTTTATTGTTCTTTTCAAATTTTGACAAAGTACGCAAGGCCATTTATTTTTTACGAAAAATTTCCTATAAAAATGTTTCTCATATGTACGTTTTACATGGTGTAAAAAAACATAAAAAGATCCACACAACAAGCCTAAGTGTGTATATCTTGTATGGAAAGAGAAGAATGTTTTAAAAAAAGGTTGCATTGGGTAGCTCATTAAAATAGATGTAAATATACTCAAACAAACATTTCTCCACATTCAAGTCACCACCGAGTTTGCAAATTTTTATTGGGGGTGCAGGTAATCAGAAAATACCATCCATGTTATAGAATGTTATAAATTTTAATGATTTTTAGTCTGCTAACTGTAGTTTAGCTATAGTGTTAGCAAGAAAAAATTCTAATTTGATAGATTTTTTACAATTGAAATGCGGTTTTTAATTAAATGGAGCATTTTTTGCTTTTCTGAATAAAACATTGAATCTAAAAACCTAAAATTCGATGAATTGTTAAAAAAGGCTCAGTAACTGTCTGATTTTGTATTGGAGATTGATCCTAATGAAGAAAAAAGAGGATACTGTATGAGGAAATCGAATTGAAAATTGAAAAACTTTGCATTTCTTACCACAAAATGTTCAATAAGTGACATCAGACATTTTAGAAGCAAATATCCAGCTATTTAAAAAAATAATAGCATTGTATACCTACTTATTAAGCAGTAATAGAAATCCTTTCAAATAACATTTATTTTATTTTCCCCTTATTTACAATAATATTTAAATAAAATTATACATACTTTCTTAATCTGAATTGTACCTAATCCAGTTTTTCTCTTCAAAAGTTAACTTTCCACTATTTTGTCATAGATGAAGTGTGTTAATGATGTAAACTCTGCATTTGGCAAGGTTTTACAGTACTTTTTCGTGCTAATTACATTAGTATTTATGCTGTTTTTATGTTATTTGCTATTTATCAAAAAGGTGTTTTTTAACACTTTTTGCTTAAAATCTGTAGGTCATTTCTTGCAGCATTTTACTGAATATATAATATCCTATTTAAAAATGATATAAGAGTTAGAAAACGATGATTTAAAATAGTTACTTTTGATGAATATTAAAGTGCACTGCAACACAGCAAATATGAATGTATAAATAGCTGGGTATTAGGGGCCATATTTATTTCTTTGCATCAGGAAGTAAAAATCTAGGCATGGCTGTGATATTTACTAATAAAAATATCTTAGATACATTGTGTTCAATTTTGCTACAAAATATTGTATAAATATGTATATTTAAAAATTCCACTAGGAACTTTCACATAGTTAGATCTATATTTTCTATATTTTTACTGTGTAATGATTTTTTGAAAACATTTATTTTTCTAACATATATTGCATTTTTAAGATTGTTCATTTTGTATTCGGAGATATATGCAGTACAAAAGTCAGTGCCCTATATGTTTTAAGGTACGTAAATTTATTTTATCATTACTAGTTATAGTGTGAATATTTAATTTTATAAATTTAATAAGAATTTGTATTAATAATTTATCCTTTATTTTTTTAATTTGAAAATTAGGTAATTAATTATCTTTGAACAGATTTTCTGAATTAAAATTAGTATCTAAATTTGTTGAAATGTTTGTTTGAATTTTATTTAGTCAAAAATATTTTGTGGGTTTTTGCTCACCCCCCTTTTTTTTCATAGTAATGTACTATGAATGCCAGCTAAACAGCCCACATTCTATATAGTCTTTCATTAATATGTGGGATGTATGGATTCATAGAGTTTTATCCACATACATATCTTTCAGTTGTTTGAAAAAGTTTAAAATGTGTTTGGTCAGACCAGGTTACTGGTTTCCAGTCTAAAACATTCAGAGTTAATTGCCAAGGCAAGCTAATTGCTTAGCTCTGTGGTATGTATTAATCTCCGGTACCATGATTGAGTGTTGACTCTCAAATTGCAAACAATAATACAGGAAAATCTAAATTTTGCCTCAGCCTATGAGATGATATGATGTGTCTCACAAGCTTCAATTATTAAATCATATTAAAATCAGTTCTGTGTCCTGTTCTAGAAGCTACACAGATATCTATCATTTTATTTATGCATTAATCAACAAATTCAGCAATATGCATAAGTGGCATTACTGTATATTCTGCATAGGTTTAGTTGTACCAGTTCATTTGGCACTTCAGTGTATGTTTCACAACTTAAAGCAAGTATAAATTAATTGTCTGGTTAAATTATAGAAAGATCAGTCAATGATTCTTCCCATATTTGTGAATATACTGGTATTATAAAAATAAAGACTTTATATCACTTTTATTAAAAGATAATTTTTATATAACTAGCCATTCATTTATAATTACTTGCTTCATGACTGTTTTATATATAAATATGCATCAAAATTCTTAACTAGGCTCATTTAGACAAAATTACTAGCCTAAATGTGCCCAGATAGGCTACTACTCTTGAACCTCACTTTAAATGGCTATATTACTTTTCAAATTGTTGCCACCAAATATTATGGCCCTGTATTATATTTGAAGAAATTTAATAATGAAGAATCTGCATGAATGTATGCGTGTTACTCGCATTGTGAAAATCATCAATACCTAAAGCCATCAAAGTTTGAATAACATAATCCTCTACCCAAATATGGGCACCTGGAAGTCCAAATTTCTTATTAATGAACTCAATCATTTCAAACTAAGCAATGGAAACACGGAAAAAAAACAATTTTATCTCCAGCCCATGAGACTATCTATCGGAAATTCTAAAGATATGCTGTTTTTAAGTATTTCTACCCCAAATGCTCTCGAAAAGTGGTGTATGTGTGTTTAATTGAAAGAGATGCCCCTTTGGGCATAATATAAAATCTGAAAGCTTTTAGATTTTTTTTTAATATATACTTACTTACATTTTATATATTTTCTTTGTGACACTGTTAATCAAATAATACTTTTTTTTAATTATAACTACAATTACTTTCTATAACAGAGGCATTTACTTGAATTAAATGCACCTTTTCTTTAAATTATGTTCAATATAACTACCATGTTTTAATAGCATTTATTGATTATTAGAAGCTGGATTAATTAAATAGTATTGTTTCTCATCCAGTATCATTTTATGTTTAATTTGAAATTAAATCTAATAATATATATGTATAAATTCAAAATAAAAGTAATTAAAAGTAAATTAAAAAGCCTAAGACTTGCACTAAAGCTGCAAAGTAATAAACCTATAATTATATGCAATTTTTATTTATTGAACTTTTTTTCCTCAGGTTGCTACAGAACCAGAGCTCAGAAATAATAGGCTCATTGATGAAATTTTACGTGTGTATAAATTGATAAGGTAAGCACTGATTACTAATTTTTTATTTATAAATTTGCATAACCGAAGTAGTATATTTTCTTTGCGAATAATATTTTTTTTTTTTTTTTTTTTTTTTTTTTTTTTAGAAGTAGTCTGTCTGATGGATGTAAGTCTTATAAAAAGGAAACAGATTTGGCATCTGATGCATGTAGATCTTATAAAAAAGAAACAAACTTGGTATCTGATGCATGTATAACATGTAAAAAAGAAACAGATTTGGAAAATAAAGCACCAGGTTCTACTGCAGAATTAGACAATACTATTCTTGCTGAGGTGGTAAGTATTAAAACATTAAATGTTTAATGATAAAAAAAAGTATGGGTACTTTTCCGTTTTGCCGGCGCAAGTGATAAAGTCGCCAATAATGGTACAACTGATGCCAAACGGAATATTCTCGCTGGTAACCTTTTACGCATCATTTTCAAAACAAGTCGCAGCTTTTTCTTATCAGACTGGTTGTTTCTTACAATACTGGCATATAGAATACATAGAATTTTTATCAGATAGTTCAGTTTATGTCTAAGTCCATTTTCGGGATTAAGTCAATTGGGATGCAATCACAGCGCTTATCCAAAGCCGAAAATATAGAAAAGGTAAAGTCAAGGGTTAAATTCATCCATTCTAATGAGATGCATTAGTGAAGTAAAGTACTGCAGTTTTGCATAATTTCTGAGTAAGCTATTCGTACGAATTGAAATATTTCTTGCATTTAAACTTGTGTTCCAAATTAAGATTTAACTTGAAATGAATGTAGATAATTACTGAGAGCATTAGATTTTTGTAGAGTAGTTTACGTGAGATGAGATCGCTCGGGGTCACGTGATATGAACCGGCGAATCAGGATGTTGAACCAAGAAAGCATAGTAAATTCTTAAATTAATGTCTTTTTACAAATTTATTGTCTTTATTTATTGGCTTTTTATAAAATTTTAAGCGATATTAAAATGTTTATGCCTTCTTTTTTTAAAAGAATTCTTAGAACTAATATTTTTTATGTGTATACTGTATGTTGTCGCCAATAAAGTCTGCTTGGCGAGATTTGCGCTGGCGAAACGGAAAAGTACCAAAATATGCAGAGTATTCTTTGTATATTAAAAAAATGTGACATTATCTTCATTTAGTGTGTTTTTTATATATGTATTGGTATTTAAAACAGTAAGTGATTCATTAGGCTTTCTCCAAACGTAAAGGTTTATTTTTTTTTATAGTGGATAAACATCAAATTCTCTGAGGCAGTGTTTCTCAACCTTTTGACTTGTGCGTACCATCGAAACAAAAATTTAAAACCTTTAGTACCACCACTACAAAGTACTACTACCCCCACCATTTCTGAACAAAGTTCAGATTATTGGGGAGATCCCCCCCCCAATAACCTCTTGAATTTTCATGGATCATTTGAATGCATGTAAATTTTAAAAACCATCGTTATTTAACGATAACGTTTAAGAGTGGTGCCAAGTAATTTGACTTAAAATATTTTAAAAGCTGTTTAAATATAAAGTATTTTAATAAAATATTTCGAAATATGAAATTGTTTTTAATTATAAATATAAAGCCATATTTTATTTAAATATAAAACTGTCTTAATTTTCATAATAAAATTGAAAAAAAAGTGTATATTCATAAAATATTTTGCAAAATTTCCATTTCTTTCCTAGGGTAAAGATTCTGAAATTGGTGAAAATGTTAGCAAAAAGACAGATACCATAAATAAGATTTCTGCTTTTGATGGTTCCAGTGAAGGTATATTTTCTTATTTCAAAAACTTAAATATGTGGTTGCACTAAAATGTAAAATTTATGGATTTAATAATTTGTTTGGGGTTTATTTTTTTTTCTGTCTGTTAGTTATTAGGTACTGTTGAAAGTAACCAGTATATATTAAACTAGTTTAAATATGCTCAGTCTGGTGTTAGAGGTTTGTTATTTTTTTCCAGTATCTTGTCCTGTATGTTATAAAACTATGCCAGAAAAAAGAATCAATATTCATCTTGACTATTGCTTAAAACAAAAGGACAATGAAGATACTTCTCAAAGGTATGAACTAAAGTATTTTTGGTAGAATTCTTAATGGTTATTATTAATGTGTATATGAAATGAAATTATTTTGATTACAGCATGTTTCCAGTAAAATCTTTTTTTTCCCTTCCCCAAAAGGAAAACGTTACCCAAATTAGTGTATCATTTGCTATCCGAGAAGGAAATCAAGAAAAAATTGAAAGAACATGGACTAAACACAGTAGGAGATAGACAGGTAATTTGCTAAAAATTTATACAGAATGGATATTGTAGAAATAATATCTGCTTTATAGAAATTTTAAGGACAATATTATACAGATATAAAACAATAAACAAGTTAGTTAATTAGTTTAATCTGAAATATTATGATAACATGAGTTGACTTCAGGACGAACAAAGTCCCTCTTCAGGAGCAAAGAAATCTGCAACTGAACATATTTATACCTTAAGAAAGTCAAGAAGGACGAGAGAGTAGCGCCATCTGTTAACCTAAGCAAAATTGGAAAAAAGAACTTTTGTTCATACTTCAGCATTAGAAACTATATTAATCATATTTCCTTTCATTTATTTTTAAAAGATAAAAGAGTATGTTTATATATATAAAACATGTATATATGTACACAATTTCTTCATCTTGCTGAATATGACTGTTGATTTTTAGTTTAAAACATGTATATATGTACACAATTTCTTCATCTTGCTGAATATGGCTGTTGATTTTTAGTTTAAATCTGTGCTAGATACTGGTATGCAAAAATGCATCAAAATATATGCTGTTTTCTTACTGATTGCAAGAAAGTGCAATCTTGACTGAGGGAAAAAGATCTAATAATTATGTAGATAACTAAAGAAGGTTGTTTGCTTGTAATTTCTGTATAAATGGAATAATCACTTCTTAACATCAATTATTGTAAATGGATGTTATTTTTTTTTTATTCTGTTCATAGAATGCCAAAATTATGGCAGTCAAATAATCAAAATCCTTTTTTTTTCACTTTCACAAACGTAAGAAGGTTCTGCTATAAAATCATCTGTGGGAAAATATAATTTTTACAGAAATATGCATGTTTTAATATGTGTATAAGAATTTATTTGTACTGGTTTAAAATAATGTTTCTCAAGCTATGGTATGTAAATTCTTAGAGGGTCATTAGAAACTCTCTCTGAAAGATTGAAAAAATACAATTAAACTAAATGGTATAGGAAATTAAGATTGCCAGGAAAAGTACTATTCTTTGATTATTTGACAAACTTGTCCATATGTGTATATCGTTTAGAATTTTCTAATGAATCAGAATCTACATAACTGTATAATATTTGTCATGATGTCCCTTCTAACAAAAACTCTTGTTTAAAAAATTGTTTCAATCCAAAACACGAAAACCTAAAAATTGGACCACACAGCTTTTGTTCACCATTCAGTATAAATTTAAAAAATAGGAAAAGCTTGAAAGACAACAATAATAATGAGTCATTTTATTGTTTGTAGCCAAAGACATGTCAAATGTAATTCCGAAAAACAAGCAGATCAGCTGTGTTATATCTCTTTGGTCATGGACCCTGTGTTTGGCATGATTTTGAGTATAGCTCATCATTTAAAGCGGAAAGTTTCATCATTTAACAAAACATCTACAAATGTTGCTTGCTGCTGAACAGTAGTAGAGATTACACAAATATGGTGTTGGTGTATTTAATTATGGCAAAGCACACTAGGGCTATCTGCCTAAGAGGAGGGATGCCTTTCGTGGAGGACTTTCTAAGGGAAACTGGCTCGTATACACGTTACACATGGGAAAAACCACGAAAACACCCATGCAGCCAGCCCGTTCGCGGGATTCGAACCTCGGACCGAACTACCAGTGTTCAGCGACTTTACCGCTCGGCCGCTGGTGAGCCTTACACAAATATGATGCAGTTCCTGGCATATGTTTGATGCAGTTTCTGGCATTCTGTACCCATTGTGTTAGATGGCATTTTATTTTGCAATATTATACAGCAGTATAGGTCTTGATTCAGCATTGTGCAGATTGGAATGAGTTACCTAAAGCTTCCATTGAGGATTGATGAGCTGTGAATTATAAAGAGGGATATGGCTTTCTAGAGCAAGAAAATAATTTAACAAGCAAAATTCAACACTGTACACAGAAGATGGTGCGCACAGAGTGGATTTTTTATCAAGAAATCAATGATATGAAAATTGCATTGACAGAAGTAGTGAAAATAATAAAGTTAAACTGGCAGTTCCTGGTTATTTTCAATGTGTTATGAGAAATGAGTACTGAGTATAAGTACCTTCTGTTCTGCTCCACTTTGTATGTTTACCTTCCCCAGCCAGTCTCAGAAAGTTAGAAACTGCTCTTAGAAGAATGGACATTGCTAGCATTTCATTGAAAGCATGGATAATCACTGTAAAGCTTATGTGAAGGTCCAGGATAGTCACATATCTTATAAGAGTAAGATTTGTTTGTTTGCTTTTAGCTTTGTAGAGTCATTAGGTTAATTGGAAGCAGAAAAGATGAAAAATATGCAACCGCCTTCACCGGAAATCGAACCACGGACCTCTGGAATACCGTTTAAGCGTGTGCATCCATTCACACGTATTAAGATCCAATCTGAATTTTTATGCTTTAAATTATTTTCTATTATTTTATTATTTAAATATAGAAACAGCAAATAACTTTTAGCAATAACTAAATTCACATGCATATAGTATTCGTTGGTTTATGAAATAATATTTTTACTCTTGGGTGATAAGATAGCGTATTCATACAAGACTCTTCATGTGTGATTAGTTATTTTCCATTAGTCTTACACAAGTCATTGAACAAGAATTTAAACAGTGCACTTATAATATTTCCCTAGTGAATACCCCCCTCCCAAAAATTATTTTGCATTTTAAACATTTAGTTACTAGTTTTGAGAAAATAAATTATCTGATATTACATTGTAAGAAATAAAGGAATCATTTCATTTGACAATTGTATCATGCAGTCCCTTCCTGTACACCAAACGCCTAAACATTGCATGCATTTACTGTGACGATGCTTATACTTCGTCGTTTGGATATGACAATCAGTAATGAGTAATCTTGTAGCAAGTAAACTCAGTTTTGCCGCCTACAAATATTCTTATAGGTGACTCCAAACATGTCAAATAATGAGACTAAAGAAATGCTGTGGTTTTAGAAAATTTATTAATAAATATCTGGGGTTTTTATTGATTTACTGAAAATTAGATTACAGCAATGAACAGTATCTGTTGTATGATTCAGAAATAAATATTTATATGACACCTAAATGTTTTTAATAAAATGGGGATTAGTACTTTAGTATTTTGTATTAAATAACTATGTCTGTATTCAATGCCTTTATTATTATTTACTATGCTTGATTTTCAAATATCATATTATCTGCTGATATCAGTGTAAACACAATCTTATTGTAATGAAATCAATTTTTCACTTGCATTTTTGATTTAAAATAACTGGTAATATTAAAGTAGTCCTCTGTATTCCTTTAGCAATGGAAATGAATTTAAATTGTAAGCAATATTTTTTGGGGGGCAGAGAGATATCAGTTGTGTTTTATGTTTATTACTTTATTATCAAAATTGTATCAAGATGCTAAAGTGTACTCATTGTTAACTTGTTTAAAACCTGGTAAAGTTAAAGAGAAAATATGTGCATTTTATACTTCTTTATTTTTGCTTTCAAAAATTATACCGCAATTTATTATTTTCAGACTTTAATAAAAAGACATAAGAGTTTTCTTACATTATATAATGCCAATTGTGATGCGTTGAATCCCAAACCAGGTATGTCTTCAGTTTAATAATTTTACATATTTGATTGTAATTTGTAACTGAATATTTTTTTCTGTATATTGTAATTTGTAACTGAATATTTTTTTTTTTTTTTTTTTTTTTTTTTTTTTTGTATGTTAAGTCAAAATAATGTGTTAATTGTAATCTTTTTATTTATTCATTTTTTAAAAAATTTTAAGTTAATAGATTCCACTATTTAGACACGTCATAAGAATGTAAATAATTCTTATTTAGATTATGCTTCAAAATCATGTACTCTTATATAAAACAATGTTTTTTTTTGTTTTGTTATTGTAATTAATTTTTTGTAGCATTTTAGGTTTTATAAAACACATAATAAGTGCATTATCTTGCCCAAAAAGAGAAATGCTATTATCAGCACTTGTCTTTTGTTATGGATAAATTCTTTAGAAAATTGGGTATTCTTCTATATTGGGGCTGGATTTAGTAATGTATGTATGAATGCATGGATGTGTGGAAATATGTGTTGTAATTTATGCATGTATATACACTGGTTATCATAAATTAAGAAAAAATCACAAAAATCACGATTACTGAAAAAGTTACATGTAGAATTTAATGAAACTTACCCACAATATACAACACATAGTAAGGTATCAAATAACATAAAAAGAATTACCAGACAAATATGGCAGTATAGAAATTAGCACATGTATGAAATGAACAAATCGAAGGTGTCAGTTTGCTGTAGGAAAAGTACCTTCAATATGGAATATGATTGCCTGTAGAAGCAATACAGCGATGTGTGATGCTTTCAATTATGTGGTCTATCAGTTCCATAGGAAGCGAGAGCCATTGCTTTTGCAAAGCAGTTGCAAGCGCAACAAGGGTTTGAGGGGGCGGATTGAGAGCAGCTAGACGTCTCCCTAAAGCATCCCAAATGTGCTCAATAGGATTCAAGTCCAGGGATCGAGCTGGCCATTCCATGCGCATAATTGTTTCCTGTTGAAGATAATCATCTACGATGCCGAGCCCTGTGTGGCCTTGCGTTGTCATCCTGTAACAGGAAAGTATCACCTATTGCCCCAGCATATGGGTGCAGATAAACATCAAGGATGTCATCTCTATAAATCTGAGCTTTCACCGTTCCCCTTGGAAAGACATGGAGGTCTGTGCGTCCACCTAAAGAGATGCCACCCAAAACACAGACACTGCCCCTTCCGTATGCATCACTTTCACACGGATGTTTGATGGATGATAATGTGTTATAGGTTCTCTCCATATTAAATAATGACTACTATCGCTTTCTAGACTAAACCTGGACTCATTCGTAAAAAGAACCGCTTTCCACTGATCAGGCGTCCAGTGGACATGTTGTCATGCCCACTGAAAACGGCCCCTTCTATGGCGTGACGTGAGCGGCACACAAATGGCTGGTTGCCTCGCATACAGACCACCTTCGTAAAGCCTTCTACGCACAGTTGACGTTGACACAAACTTTCCCGTGGCTGCAGCAAGGGAGGATCTAAGAAGAGTCGGAGTAGTGGTTCTATTCCTGCGTGCACATAAGGTCAAATATTGATCATCAGCGCTCGTCATAGCAGTTGGCCATCCTTGGCTGAACCTCCTAGATGCCAAATCTGTGGTTTGAAATTGCCTCCAAAGTCTATGAACCACAGAAGGACTCACATTTAGCCATCTAGCCACTTTTGTTTGACTTTGTCTGGCCTCTAGTCTCAATGGCTCTCCATCGCAGTTCTGCAGGCAAATGATGCCTGGAGGTCATTGTTATGAATTGGCTATCTCAGATTTCTGATGTCACTATCATGGTGAAATATGTGGGCTTGCTCTCAAACATGGACTTTTATGCTTCTCGCAGATGACGTATTCCGAAAGCAGCGCCACTAATTTGCATATCGCAGTTTTACTCAGTTACTCTTACTTGGCAACATATTCAAATTTTACACGATTTGGCTTATTTTTTAGGAAGTTATCGCTATTTTTGTGATTTTTCCTTAATTTATGATAACCAGTGTACGTACATACATATGTATGTGTGTATATGCACACAGGTATTCCCATACATACATTTCTGAATCCAGTCCCGATAATAGAAGAGTACCGAAAATTGTTTTCAAACCATCTTAAAGTCTCTTCTTTAGGTAAAAATGATCCCTCCCAAGTGTCTTACTACCATCCATGTTTTCACTTTCTGTATTTGTTTATATTATTTTCTTTATAGCAAATTAAATCCACACTTTAATCCTTAAAAATTCAAATTTTAATTCTTGAGAATTAAGACATTTCTTATTACAGGGTTCGTACAGTCCTTAAAAGTCCTTAGGTTTTTTGGAATTGATTTTTGGTCCTTAAAAGTCCTTAATATCGGCCAAAATCGACAGAAGGTCCTTAATTTTAATCATCTGAAATTTCTGTCTGTTTTTACGATTGTCATTTTGAGTGTAAATTAGCATTTTCTATTTACACTCAAAATGAGTGAATTAGCATTTTAGGAGGAATATTTTTTGTGACAAATATGGTTATCTTTTGAATGGATTATAATTTGTCCTTTTTTCTAATATAAATGGTAGGATACTCGTGTTTCTGAGCAAGAAGTAAAATCATTTTTTCTAATGAAGAGCTCTTAAACAACTTTTCGCTTTTAGGGATGTGAATTTTTTTATTAAACGGTTCTAAATTTAATGGCTTAATAACACAACTTAATAATGAGAACATAATATTGGAATGTTTTACTTCTGATACAAGAATCTTTTTCTTAGCATGTCTATCTTCCCTTTATTTTCTCTACTTTTCACTTGACACAAGCATGGAAAATGTCAAGAATGCTTCTAAACTTATCACCTGGACACGCATTATAGAAAGGAATTTTTTATTAATAAAGAAATTGAAAACTTACAATTTTAAAGATTCATCTAATATGTCTTAATACATCATACACAGGGCTGGAGCTAGGCATTTTCCCAACTGATGCAATTTCTGTGAATTTTAAATTCTGATGCTTTGTGCTTTTCAAAATTCTGCTTCCAATGCCTGCTGTAAATTCCAAAAGTTTTCCCATTTCTAGATTTTGTTGCTCAGTGTGTCACTAAATTAAAAAAATTCTGCCACACCAGTTCTGTAACCGGTCCTTACCATATATATTTTATGTGTTTTCTGAATGTTCATATTACTAAAATAAAATTAGCAGCTTTTTCAATACATTCTAAATGCATGTAGGTTTTTTAGAATAACAGAAATCTTTAATTAAAACCGAATATTCTAAAACGAAAAGGAAGCATGTTGAAGAAAGAAACTGAATACATGAAGGGAAAGAAAATTATTCTTCAAAGATACATACAGTTATTATTATGTAATTTACCCAGTTGTTTATAATTTCAGCCTTTACTAGAATTTCCCATTTCTATTTCCTCACCAGAATGCAAATCACTTAGATAGTTTTTAAACTGAGGTTTTTGGAGTGTAAAACAGAGTGTGTTTCTGACCTCTGCTTGAAACTCAATATAAATCTAATTTAAACATTTTTGTACTTTTCATAATTTACTCACATTTGTCATAAATTAAATATATAGCTATGTTTTAAATTTTGTTCCAGTATTTTAATTAAAAATTGCATCTTTTAGTAACAGAAATAATAAGAGAAATTGAATGTCAGGAATTAGAAGAGAGACTGAACGAGCAGCCTAAAACAGTTAGTTATATTTTATACTTCTTGATCTCAAATGAATGTTATCTCAAATGAAATTTTACTTTTTATGAATATTCTTTTTATAATTTATAAATTTGTTTTTGTGATATAACCCTGAAAAGTTGAACATAGGTCTTTCAGATCTTTCTATACCTCACAGCAATTGGAGAGCCTTTGTCAAACACATGAATGGATGTGCAGGCATCCAACATAATGTCTGACCAACCTCTACTGCAGTAATGATCTTTTTCTGTGATGAGGGAAGTGTGATATGTTCCAGGCTGTCTCCAGATACAGGTATCCCAAGAATCAGTGTCTTGGCTGAATCTCGATTATCTGTAAAAAATGCAGTGCACCACTGAATTGGTCTGAGGTGCATGTTTTCTGTACCATGTTAAACATGCTTTCTTGTGTGATGCACTGAGTGGATGCAAACAGTGAGTCTTCTGGCATACGGCTGTATCTTATGAAGTCTTTGGGTAACTGTAACCTGTGAAACTTGGATTCCAGCAGCAGCATAGAGCTCATGTCACAATTGTGAAATTAGAGCAGTCCTGTGTCACCATGCTGAAAATGGCAAATAATGACACTTGTTCATTGTTGTGGATTTCGGTCAACTTTGTGCAGGTCTTCCCGTCATTGATACAGTGTCCTGAACTGTCTCCACAAATTGCAGATGACACTGGGTATAACATTGACCCCTGTACCTACCTGCACTTGTGATTGGTCTGCCTTCAATCTGTTGGCAATGATGCATCTCATTTCGTTATTCATACATTCATGGCTACTCTCATTTTACCTAATACCTTATAAAAAGACTCTTGCGAGAAACATGGCAATTGTCTTGAAGGAATAGGAGCACACATATTGGTGAAAACCACTCCCGTGCTTGTATCCCTTCTACAATCACAGCTCTGCAGACACAGACATGTATGTTAAGTATTCAACTCTGAATATTTGCATAATTCTTTGGCAGCATAATTAGGATTTTGGTTCAATATTTCTTGTAAAAAAAGACCTAATTTTCAAATTGTCTAATTTTGCACACAAGTGTATTTTTACTAAAAGGTATCATGAACTAAATTGTTGCAGTTGGAAGCCTACAATATTTACTCATTCCTTAAATTGGAACTCCTCACAGTGGCCAAGTTTCTTGTTTAAAACCACTAATCTGTGTAGTTATGCCCAAGTTGAGCTCCATCAACTGCTATCCCTTTCCCTGGAATCTATGTGCAATATGAATATGGTCAAATTTCCCTTGGAAAGTTTTTTACAAAGTCATCCCTTTTAAAGCAAATGGCTTTTTGAATGAATTAATCAATAAATGAATGTAAATAGTAACTGTATGTTTATGTCCAGCCATTTAAATGAAATTTAGTTATTTTTTTTAATAACCTTACATGTATAAAAGTGTTTCTTTTTTTCGCCCTATGGGTGTACAGTTAAAATATTAAATTTTCAATGTATTTTATTCATAAGACTTTCTTAAACCTGTTTTATGTTAAGGTGAAATGTTAAATACTTTAAAATGCTAAATCCTTGCAGAGTGAAAAAGAAGAATTTGAAGGATGAATTGCTGTTAAATTCAGTTAGAGGGCTTAAGAATGTTTCTATTAATAGGTGAATGTGTGTTAGGTGACTAAAAAGGGCTTAACTATTTTGATTGACTATTAGCTAAATTGTAAAAGAGTGAATTTTTGTATTTCATTGGGAGTACAATTTGTTGGAGTACTTAAACTGTTCCCTTCTCGGGCTATTAGGGTTTTTCTGATGTTTAAATATGAGAGAGTTTCCTGTAGAATATAATGTATAAATTACAAAACACAGAAAACTGTCTTAAATGAAAATGCTCAAGATAGCTTCATTTGTTTTCTGTTAGTAGTTAACCAATTTTAGCTTGATCTTTTAACAGTGTTTAAGTCATTCCTTTTGCTTTCTTAAATTGGGATCTAGCATTATTTTAAATTTGTATCTTTTATGATCAAAACATGACTTTTTATGATCTTACATATATAATTTTTGGTCAGAGATATTCTATCTCCTAGCATTTTAGGTCAGAAGGAGGTTTTTTTAATATTTTTTTTTAATTATTAAAATGCTGAATATATTGGCTAAGAACAGCAAGATAGTAGCAGAGTTATCAGGCTAGCAGTTCTTGCTATTGATGCATAGATACAAATATGGCAACTGTCATTGTATTTTTCATAAATACTGAAGTCTTGTATATATAACATTATATTACAAATAGTAAATAAATGAATGTTGAATTAAATTTGAAAAGTAATTAAGAAAAATTTTAATGTAATTGATTATGAGCAGTAGCAGAATATAAGGAAAAAAAAATAAATGCTGCATGTAAATAATTTTTCAAAGTTAAGCACAGTTATATTAAATGCAAATATTCTAATAAGCAAAAAAATAATTTACTTAATTCTTTGGTAATCATGTAAATAAGATAAAAGCAAAATGTATGTGATGCAATAAGTAAAGAGAGGATAATTGTGTATAGTATTTATTAATTTTTAATTTCAGGTACAAGTTAATAAAAAAAGCGATCCAGCTGTGATAGAAAAGGAACATGAATCCTATGGTATATATTTTTTTTTATGTTTAAATAATAGGCTCAACTTGTATGTCTTATTCTATTAAAGCCTCAGTTATATTGTTTTCTACCCAAATATATATACAGTGTGTTTGGGTCTCGTCCCAAATAACACACACTAAATAAATTCGCTGGTTCGATTCTTTATTAATTCTCATAATTAATTACAATCATAGCTGTGACCAGCCCTCTTACACCGTCGATGGCGATTCTCAAACTCCTTTGATCATCACATTACAGATGCGCATGCGTGGATTACATTACAGATGTGCAGGCGCGAACATGCCGCCCCGCGTTGCAATGCTTAGCATTCAACTATTGTAATTAAGATATAGCATAAAAAACAAGTATATCATAAACAATTTTGAATAAGTACTATTACATAAAATCATTATTATAATTAGACATTTACCATATACATTAGCGTACAACTCAAAGCAATACAATATAACATTTCAGTTACATAATGACATTTTATGTGAAGCACATTCAATACTGTACAATAACTATAAAGACAATACTCATTTTTGTATTGGTAAGACACATAATTTGGTAATTGGTCGTTTGAAACTTTGTTTAATCTCTTTAATTCTGCATTTGCACCTACAAAATTCGTAGCGTTATCACTAAATAGTGTTAAACTTTTACCTCTTCGTGCAAAGAAACGTTTCAAGGTAGCTATTAATGCTTCAGATGATAGGTCTGTTATAAGCTCTAAATGAATGGCCTTAGTAACCATACAAATGAATATACACATATAAGCTTTTTGATATGTACCTTTTCTCTGGTTTTTGTACTTAATTAAGAATGGGCCACAGAGGTCAACTCCAATACAATTGAATGTAAGATTAGCTGTGATTCTTTCCTTGGGTAAATCACCCATGATTTGCTGAGCTACAATGGGATTAGCTTTAAAACATATTACACAATTTTTTACAATTTTTCTACAAACATTTCTACCACTTACAATCCAAAATTTTTGTCTTATATGATATAACAAAGATTAAGGACCCACATGCAAATATTTTAAATGATAGTAATTAACTTATTGACACTGTTAATTTATGTTTAGAAGGCAGAATAATAGGAAATTTTTTCTCATAAGTTAAATTGCTATTTTTTAATCTACCTCCAACTCTCAACAGTCCATTACTGTCAATGAAAGGGTTAAGACTTTTAATAGAACTATTTCTTGGAACAATACCTGATTTTTTAAGATCATTTATCTCATTTATAAAATACTCACCCTGTACTAATTTTCTTCAGCTGCTCTCAATTCTCCCACTTGTAAATTACCTACCTGCCTTTGTTCTTGCTTACAATTCTTGTAAAACCTAAAACAAAAACTTATAATACGAATTAATTTTAAATACTTATTATTGCAATTCAATAAATCATTAACAAAATTTTTCACATTCAGATTTAAACATGTAGATAGTTCAGAATCAGCACAGTTTTTAAGTTCATTACTGTCCTTTTCAGTAATTGCTTCAGGTATAACTCTAATAGGGTACTCATCCTTCATTAAGAAGTCAGGCCCGTTCCACCACAGTTGACTTAGTTGCAGTTTTTTGGCAGACATACCTCTAGATATGAGATCTGATGGGTTTTCTTCAGAAGCGATATGATGCCACTGTGCTATTTCAGTCAGATCCTGTATCTTTGAAATCCGGTTTGCAACAAATGTCTTGAGCAGATGTGGCTCTTTGTTGATCCATGACAGCACAATCATAGAATCGGTCCAAAGGTGAATAGCAGTAAGCTCCAATTTTAATGATGATTTCACTCGATGCATCAGTTTAGCTAATAGCACTGCTGCGCAAAGCTCAAGTCTTGGGATTGTAGTCTTCTTTAGGGGTGAGACACGCGATTTACTGCACACCAACCTCACTGATGTATGGTTTGTTGCTGATGTTGCTTTACAGTAGATAACTGCTCCATAGGCGGCCTCTGAGGCATCACAGAAACCATGTAATTCAATCTTGATTCTATCTGGTAATAAAATACATCTAGGGACTTCAATGTTGTTAATTAGCTGCAAGGTAGTGGAGAATTCTTTCCATTCTTTAGCCTCCTTTTCTGGCAAAACATCATTCCAGCTTCAATTTTAACAGCCATAATTTCTGCATAAATATTTTTGCTACAATTATAACTGGAGAAATTATACCCAATGGGTCAAAGATGCGAGATATGACGGATAACACTTGCCGTTTCGTAACCTTTATGTTGTCTTCGATTTTAACGTTGAAGCTCAAACAATCTCCTTTTGACTTCCATAAAATACCTAATGCTTTAGATTCTTCTGATTTACCAAAGGGATATGTTTTGTCGTTTGTTTGACACAGTTCAGTAGCATTACTACACCACTTATGGAGTAACATACCTCCACTCTTCAAAATGCCTATTAACTGATTTTGAAGTTCTAACGCAGAACTTAGCAACTCAGCTCCAGATAGAATATCGTCCATGTACATGTCTTCTCTCAGTACAGGTGCTGCTAAAGGAAATTTATCTCCTTCGTCCTTTGACAGCTGTACAAGTGTTCTCATTGCTAAAAATGGTGCACTCACAGTTCCATAGGTAACGGTGGTTAGCTCAAAGTTTTTAACTGGCTTATCAATGCCTTCTTTTCCATAAAATCCTTTGCAACTTCCACTGATCTTGGATGGATAGAAATAGCTCGATACATCTTTTGTATATCAGCAGTGAAAGCAAAAATATATTTCCTGAATCTCAGCATAATTGTATCACACCGCCATTATACTGTATAGAATTTAGAGAGTTTCCTTTGGTTGTCAAAGAAGAAGCGTTAAATACTACCCTCAAGGGAGTCGACTTACTTTTCTCTTCTCCCCTATATACTCCAATATGAGGAATGTAATATGATCCTTGTTCCTCCTCGCTTTCACTCACCTCAACCATATGTCCTAACTGTTGATATTCTTTTAAAAAATCTGAATATAATTTTAAATATTCGGGATTCTTTACTAAGCGTTTCCATAAGGAATTTAATTTACTCGTTGCAATTTGTTTAGAACTTCCTAAAGTGTCCGGATCCTCCTTTAATGGCATTTTAACAACGTACCTACCGGTTTTATCTCGTGTATAATTTTCTACGAAATGTTTCTCACAAATTAAAGATTCTTTGTTTTTGGGTTTATCAGTTTCAATATTTTCTAATTCCCAAAATTTTCTAAGAGTTTTATCTAAGTTGTCTTCTTCCTTTATCAACCCACAATGAACCCTGTTTTCAGTCTCTGTTGGAATACTTCCAGACACGATAAAACCAAAAAAAAAAACTGTATCTTGAAAAATAAGATCAGGATTATTCATTCGAATTTGACTCGGTTTCAAAAGTTCATAAAAAACTCCCGCTCCCAACAACATATCTACCCTTTCTGGAACATTAAATCCTTCATCTGCTAATTTTAAATTAGGAAGATCTTGCACTGAAATTTTAATTTTGCGCGAAGGTGTTAAATCAGCAGTTATTTTTGGAATTACTAAAAAGTCCAAATTCTTTATAAAAGTTCCTTCTTTATTGCATATCGAAGCATTAATTTTATGCTTTATTGTTAAAGTAGCATCATTTATTCCCGAAACGGAAATGTTTGTTTTTTCTTTCTCTAACTGCAAATGCTCAATAAGATTCCGTGTCAAAAAGTTCGACATACTGCCCCCGTCCAGCAGACACTTCACTCTGTGTTTTTCCCCTCGTTATCAATTAGAAACGAAACATAAGCAGAAACTGTAAAACTGTACTCTGTTTATTCGAATATTGCTAATAAATGCCTTTTGAATAAATGCCTTTTGAACGAACTCCTGCGCATTAACATTCAAGGTCGATGAGTCATCTCGTTTGGGAATGTTGCAGTCAGATACATTTGTTTTGTTTTTATTTTGTTCCGATTCTTTTACGATATTATTTGCTTTCGGAAAGTGAATAGTTTTGTGGTGCCATTTTTGACAAAAACAAGAATATTTCGATGGGCAATTTGATACTGAATGCATATGTAGACAGTTAAAACATAATTTATTAGATTTCACAACCTGTACTCTTTCTTGTACTGGTAATTTTAAATACGATGGGCATTTTGCCAATCTGTGATTCTCGTGGCATAAAATACAGTTCTCTGTTTTAACATCTGATAAAAAACACTTTAGCTACACTTTTTGAGCTATTATACTTACGATTAACATGAGAATTCTCAGTAAGAGGTTTTCCTCGTGACGTGAAATATAAATCTATTTCTTTACCTAACTCACTAGGTGAAAACCATGAATCACCTTGCCTCACTGCAATGTGAGAAGCTGTTCCCGTATCTAAAGATTGGTATAACCTATCTGAAACTATTAGTTGTTTGAGGGTCTCGAAGTCAGTTACCTTCCTTAATTTTAAATAATAATCCCAGGCAGTTACTAAGCGAGAAGCAAAAACTGCACATGAGTTTCATGTGGTTGTTTAACAGTTTTTCTAAAGTTTTCTAAACACGAATATGGTGTTGGCTGAAACTCCTTCAGAACTACTTCTTTTACTTTTTCATAATTCGCGATATCCTTATCATGTAAATAGGTTATTATATTCGAAGCTTTGTCTCCTAACAGATTTAACAGAATTTCTGCTTTATAGTCCTCCGAAACATTTTTTGTAATAAACGCTCGTTCTAATGACGAAAAGAAAAATCCCCAACTCTCAGGCCGTATAGGAATTTTTACAGTTAAGGTTCTGATACTTTTTATTAATTGATCTAGTGACTTTGGTTTTGTTTCGGTTTCGCTTACACCATTAAGTTTAGTTTCTGCTTTAAGCTTAGCCAACTCTAACTCATTCTTTGATCTCTCAAGTTTTATTTTTTCTAACTCGACAAGTTTTTGCTCTTCCTGTTTTCTATTTTCGATAATAGAGTTTGCTATCTCTTTTACTAAATCTTGTTTAGTTTTAAAAATTTCACTATTCTCAATAATATCAGTCAAATCTGCTATAGTCATTTTTTCGTCAACATTTAGATTTAGATTTATTTCTAAGGCAATAAGCCTTAAATCTTCTTTTTTAGCACCCTTAAATAACATTGTTATTTATAACAGAACAAGCACAGAAAGTACAGAATTAACAAGAGAGGAATCATTTACCTCTGCAGTGATTCACTTTTGATGAATATCCGTATCCCAAATCAGCGATATTCGTTGAAAAAAACAAGCTTGGAATACTGGCAAACACAAACACTCCTGTGTTCTCAAAAACGAAACACTACTTATTCATGCACAAACTCACACTCCGGTCGACTACGACCATATATGTTTGGGTCTCGTCCCAAATAACACACACTAAATAAATTCGCTGGTTCGATTCTTTATTAATTCTCATAATTAATTACAATCACTCATTAACTCATAGCTGTGACCAGCCCTCTTACACCGTCGATGGCGATTCTCAAACTCCTTTGATCATCACATTACAGATGCGCATGCGTGGATTACATTACAGATGCGCAGGCGCGAACACAGTGGAAGACCATTTATGTGTTTTTCAAGGGTTGATTCACAGACAACATATAAATGACAAAGACATAAGTGAAATTTTAATTTACTGTGGGAAACATATATATATTTGATAACACTTATTCTTCATTATCTTTCTACACTGTAATTTCCAATGCAGTAAACATTTTTTAGTAGCAGAAAAGGTATTTATCTCATTCAGTTTCAAAAGTTTGAACAATTTTCAAAAGTCCAAGGAGGCTTGTAGGTCAGTGTCCCAACAATCCGTTTTTTAAAAGTCCTAAACTGCAAAAATCTTTGGATGATACATCAGGAGATTCAATATGGATATGAGTGAAGCGTATGGCCTTGATATATGTTTCTGGTTTTATTTTTTCCCAGGAAATTAATAGTGAATTTTGATGTTTTTTTGCTTGCTTTGTACTAATGCAGTCCTATACTGATTGATGGCACTGTGGTTAAAAAGAAGGTATTTCATATTTGAAAATTGGGTGTAAAATATATTCCTAATAATATGTGGAGTTGGCATTAACATTTTTCTGCTTTCTCTTTAATTTTTATATGTCCTTATATCAAAAACCATCAACAATCATAAAAGAAACTTTCTTTTGATTCTTTGAACTATGTTCTAAGATTCCCCCCCCCTTCTTTTTGATGATAATAAGTGGAGATCTTTTACTGCATTCATTTAAATATACCCAAGGTTCATCTATTGTGACAACATTTTTCCATTTTTTTTTTTATCCGAATAATTGTTTCTCATTGAGAATTATGCAGTACATTCTGCTTTCAGCGATATGTCACGGAGAAAGAGGATGCATATTATGTTTTTTCATTATTAAAGATCCAAATCAGTGTTAATCACTTTGTTTATAGTTGACACTGAGCATTTAATGACTATGCATCTGTCCTTTTTTGACTTCGAAGATTTCCTTTAACATTAAAGTTCGTACCTTTGCAACATTTGAAACATTCTGTTTTTTCCTTGGATATGTATTTTGAAGAGTTTTTCATAATCATGGCTTTCACAGTATGTTTTAACAACTAAATACAAATAATTTTCTCTGGAAAAAGCATACAAACATAGCCTTCCACCCACTGCTTCTTTAAAATTACCATTTTACATGAAAACAAAATTGTCAAATAACAGACAGTAATTTACACTTTTAGAAATATAGTTGCAGTTAAAGAAAAAAATTCCAAACAGGTGATTTTTATATAGCGTAGCAAAGTCATCTAAAAAATGTGCAACTAACTTACTACTGATATCACACAATTTTATCATTGTACTTTCAGTTTGTTTAAAATATAAACTAAGTTAAAATTTTAAATAAATATTTAATTGATATTAATATTTTAAACAATTTTTATAATTAATATTCTAAAGTAAAATTAATACAGATTGAATATTTTAAAATCCTAAGAATGCAAATTTCTGTACGTAGTTGTGTAAAATTTGAAAAAACAGAAAAGTTATACCTTTATTTGAATTACCATTTTTAATAAGTAACCCCCCCCCAAAAAAAATTTTTTTAAGCAAATTATAACTTTTTAAAGAAAAAACTCTTTATCATTTGGCTTGTCTTTTCATTCTGAATGTTAAGCAAAAAGTTTTGAATCTTTCAAAACTCTTTCAGTTCATGAAACATTTTCTCACTTGTACTATTACACACAACGATTTTCTGAGGGTGTCAGTACAGAAATTTCAGAAAGTTTCACTCAGATTTTAAAAGTTTCTCTCAATTATAACATGGGGCCATTCACTGAAATATTGAATGCATTACACAATGAAAAATTTTAGCAAAATGCTTCGACTGCATGAAACTTTCCGTCTTAAACATGCAATTTATATATATATATATATATATATATATATATATAAGCAGACTCTTCTCAAATTTTTGCTGTTTCTTCACCTTTTTTTTTCTAATATAAACAACCATTTTGGATGTTGCTACAAGAATATACAGTTTTTTTGCTAACTCTTGCCAAACCACTATTCTCATCAAATTCTTTTACAATTTGAATTTTATTTTTTAACTTACCTTTCGCTTCATGATATTTTGTATCAGTTAATTCGGATCTACATAATTTACTTAAAACAGCATCCTGTTCAGAAGGGGGGGGGCAGAAAAAAAGCAAATGTATCTATTTTTTTCTTCCAAATGTCCCATCTATTCATGATCCGGTTTTCAGCTCCTGTACCAGACTGTGATATCTCTTGCCTTTGTTTCCTTCTCCTATTCCCATTTCTGGGAAAAGATAGTTGAATGGTGGTATTGCAAAATGTGAAACTAATACAGTAACTCAAGCAAAAATTATGTATAACTGATGTTATGTGACATATAAAAAAGGTAGTTTACTATAATAAGTAGGAGTGAATCAGGACTAAGATGAAATGATGTATAATGAAAAGATGTATAAATGAGGAATGTTTAAATGGTATATATATAAGATAGATAAGAAGCATATGATGTCAGATATTCCCAAAAATCTAATTGTTCCTTTAGTCAGTATTCAAAGAGGACAAGTCTTATAAAATGCTAATTCACTTAAAATATTTGCTTAAAACATTTTTATGAAGAATGTTTCCTTTGGTATTTGTGAAATTTTATTTTTTAAAAGAATTTTTTTAAATATTTTTTATTCTGTCAAAATTAAACATTTCTTAAACATTTATAGAATGTGTCAGTACATACGTATATTCCCCCCTTGCTGTTCAAGATATAACAGTCCATATGAGGCATGCAGTTCTAATTAAATAATTAAATATGATGATGATATTTTAATATATTTTTCTTTTCAATTTAAATATAAAAAAAAACATTATTGTACTATTATTCTGTTCACTAACAGCTAATATTTAAACTAAAAGTTCAATTTGATGTAACTATGAAATGACAAAATAGAAAAGTAACTTATTTGTATTGCATTGTTTTGTTTATGCAGATTATACATCACTTGTATGTAAAAGTAATTAAAAGAAATATCAAACCCTTTTTTTTTCCAGCAAAACGGCACCAGTCTCAGTTTAATACACTCATAAATGATATTCAGCAAAGAGAAACTGCTAGTGAGTCTTTCTGTGTTCATGACTTTTTTTTAATCCTCCTTTAAGTATTATTTTGTCATTTTTTTTCTTTTTATTAGCTTGTTACTTCAAATGTATATCTAATTGTCTAATAATAGAAAAATGATGGCTAATTATTTTTTTAAAAAGTCAATTTAAATCATAAGAAATGTAATTTCAATGACAAAGGATACTAAAGAAGAAGACAAAAAATAGGACAAAAAATTACTAAAGAAGAATTAAGTGAATATGCTGTTAATGAAATTTCAATAAAAATTATGCAAAACTGAATTTAATTGTTTCTTTTTAATTATAAAATGTTGCACTTTGCCAAGTTGTAACAGATTTTCTTTTAAATTGCTGAGTTTCCTGCTTAAGTTTGAAACAGAAATATCTTATGCTTTGATGAGTGATAGCATGTTACTTTTAAATTGCTGAATTTGTTAATCAAAAATTCATTAAATTAGCCAAAAACCTAAAATGGATAAAAAAATAAAAAAAGTTTCAAAATTTAGGTTTTGCGATACACATGCTCGAGTGAAGGAGTACATACATTCAAAGTTTGGTGTCTCTATGTGCCTGCATTTTTCTGAGTGTGAGGAACATGCATACACATAGATTCTTCAGTATTTAATAATAGAGATTTGTGTAATAAACTTGATTAACTGTGATAGTGTGTTGTATACTTTTGCTAAAATCAGATCCATGGGTAATTTTTTTAATTAAAATTTGAATATGAATTTTTATACATTTTAAGTATATATATAACTTGATTTCGCACTAAATGAATTTAAGATTATACATACATACATATATATATTATAATAATATTATTATTATAAGCAAAGTTGTAAGAACAATACAAAAAAGACCAATTTTGGTCAATATATATTTCACTGTTGTAGATTTCTTATTGTATTAAAGTAAGTTATTATGGCAGTTCTGACAATAAATTTAGAAGAGCATATGAATTTAATTAATTAAAATCAATTTACATTTTAAGAGCTGATACTGATACTGTACTTAAAGCCTCAAAAGTTATAAATGGGGCCCTGTCTTATTCAAACAAAAACTCAGTTTTAAGTTGTATGTGTTTAACTTACACATGCTTAAGCTTATGAAGTAGTCATACATATGAATACGCCTTGAATGGAATTCTATGATAAAGCAGTTCCTAAAGTTTCAATTTTTTTTTTTTTTTTTTTCCCTGTAAAAAGCTGATAGCTATATATCATGTCGTAGAGGTTATAAAGTACATTAGTTCTTTATTTAGAATAATTAATGAAAACAAGTAAGTAAATAAAATATCAAAGTAAATTTGAATTAAAATTTGGGCAAGGTTTTATATTTAAAAATATTTTAGGCTTTGAAAATATGTTAAGCTATATAACATTATTTAAAAAACTGCACATTTGTTGATATGCAAAGAAAATTTTCTACAAAAAGTTGTGCTATTGTAGTTCAAAAATAATAAATTCATTTGGTCACTGTATTGAGAAAAATAATTTTCTCTGATTTAAAAATCAAGTATAAAAAGCATTGGTGTTTCTAGAATGTTGATATTTGTTATATGTTAATGATAAGCATTCTTAAAGCGTTCCTGAATTATTTGCTATTGCAAGGTAACGAATTTCTTCTGTTTATGTTATAAGTCTGTATTTCCTTAAAAAGATCTTGGAAATGGCTTTTTAATAATAAATAATCTTTTTTCCCTATAATTTATGTTGTTAATGTATTCTCAGTTCAATAGTTATTTTTAATTTATATTAATTATGTTGTCTGTCTCAGTACTTATAAATGGTGTTCTGCAAAGGAGATTATTTTTTCACGTCGCTGATTTTTATAATATAAAAATTAATGACATTTTAAGTTAAGATGTCCATTTGTTATTATGTAGTTTGTTCACTGCAAAACTGTATTTGTTTAATTGCATATTTTAAATAATTGTTAGCTAACTTATTTAAAATAAGTATAAGCATTAAAAATTTTATTTAAGTATTCATTTTATATCATATTTGGGACAAAAGGTTATAAAATAGGAATCAGAAGAATATGTTTGCAAAGTAGTTCCATCAAAAAATTTTAAAGAGCTGATTATAAACTTCCACTGGACTCTTTCTTTGGTAATAAAATTCTTGAATTTGTCATCTTCTGAAATTCTATAAAAATTTCTAATTTCTTTCCTTGTTCACTTAATTCCAATCTTCCTCTCAATCTCGTGGTTCCCTTTTCATTGATATAAGGGAGAAAACTGAACAAAGGGGAATTTTATTCAATTGAATTACCTTCTTTTAGAGCCTCGTACTCTTTTTTCAAAAAACGTCTTTCCTCAGATCATACCTAAAAATTTTCTGCTTCCTGAAATTCTTCATCTGTGAAATTTCCTTCAGTATCGCTAATTTTTCTTAATTTTGCAATAAACCATGATATCCAAGCTGTCACTCTTAACATCATCTGTAAGTTGCTACATTTCAATATGTCAGAGAGGTCATCTGTATTTTCAACTGTATATTCAAGTTAATGTATATCACTGGAATTTATATATATATATATATATATATATTCCAGCTTATCTTAACCTATTGTTTCTTTAATGTCTAATTTTGACCAAAGATTGTGAGAGAGTTGAAGCCACTATGGGTTTGTGTCTAAATAGACTCGTTTATTAACTTCGAGATTTTCATGCCCCGAGATATCAGATCTTCAGGGTTGTGAATACTTGGGCAGTAATGCCAATCTTAAGGTGAACTCAATTTTTCGATTTCTTTGACACAGTTATTAATGAAGGGTTTGAAGGTTTCAGTCTGTTTTTGAATCAAGAAATAAATAATTGTTGAGTCTATCCAAAAACAACATGGGATTTACAATTTCACTTCCTTCAAAATATTGCTGCCTAACTTGGCTGATAACAATGCCTCCATTAATACTAACCTTGGCAAAGTAAGATATTTTAGTGGGACTACCCTGTTTCTTGAAATGATAAAAGCAGTTTTAATATTTTATCATTTGTTGTGAAATGTAAATATGCGACTGAACCATAGGCTTTTATACTTACATCTGAGAAGCAATGTAACTTCAGATTTTCAATATTAAAGTTTGAGATCATGAAAAAGTAATAAGGGATGGAGAATTCAGTCATCTGAGGCAGCTTTCACCTCATTTTCTCCATTGAGAGTACAAATCTTCAGACAGTGGTTCATCCTTGTCTATTTGTGATGACTAAATCTTCTGTATTAAGCACTTTATTCTAACAGTGAAAAAGTACCAAAATTCCAGTGGGATAGAATAACCAATGTAACTCTTGTAGGAAAAGTCTTTTTGTTTCTGTTGGTTTAGATGTGAAGGGCAATAGGTTTCGAATGTCAAGATACAGATAATTCTTTGAATTATCCCAGGCTTCACCCAAAATATTTAATAGGAAATTTTCTCTATTAAAAACTTCAAGATTTTCATTTGGAACGATGCCTTGTTCCACCCAAAATTCGTGTAGTTGTTTTGAGCTAGTGTTTTATGAAGCTGCATGCTTGCTTCCTTAAAACTCTAGATTGATTCAAGAATGATAGTTAATACTTCATTGATTGTCTGTTAACTTCCAATAACATCATCTGCATATACATTCTCATTCAAAAGTTTAACCATCATAGAATAAAGTATTTTTTCAGGTTATGTTTAATGGTGTCTGCTAAGAAACAGACTGCTATTTATTCCAAATAAAACTCTAGTGTACCTATATGTATCAGGAGAAAGGGTTTAGTGGGGGATTTGGATAAAGGAGACCTAGTTGTGCCTTGATCCTTTTCGTATATGAAAATTTGGAATTTAAATCTGGAAGATAAATTCAACGGATTAGAGGAATGCTAAACAACAATAAAATGTATCGAAATTTCAAAGTGTTTCATCAGATTTGCCAGTAAAAGCTAGTTAACATTGTTGGTCAAATTTTAGCTAGAAAATGAAACCATTCATTGATGAAGATATACTTAAGGAATGTTTAACTGCTGTTGCAGGAATGGCTTTTCCTGGTAAAAAAGATACATAGCTGGTCAAGATTTATAACTGCTAGAAGAGGTGAAGACATGTCTGAAAACTGCAGCTTTAGATGAAAAGCTTAAAAAGAGTTGTGACATCAGTGACACATCGTAACTAACAATATTTGTTAAAGGAATTCATTCCAGTTTGAATGTAACTGAAGAAATGGGTTTATTGATAACGGTGACAAAAACTGCAACAAGTAAACTTGTACAATGAACTAAAATGGTTGTTGAAAACTTATCTGTTTTATTGGAAAAGATTATCGGCATATCAACTAATGGAGCGTGAGCAATGGCAAATGTGAATGTAGTCGCAGGAATGTTATTTAATATTAAAAACTTGACTGGGAGAGAAATCTTTGTTATTCATTGCAGAATTCATCAGCGCAGTCTTTTCACAAAAACTTTAAATATGCCATATGTCACAATGTAATAATGCCACAATATTAAAACTTATTAATTTTTTTCAATCTTATAAATCATTAAATCACCACCAGTTTAAAGATTTTTTTAGAAAGTTTTGAAAACTGAATATGGTGATGTAATTTATAACACAGAAGTGCATTGGTTGAGTAAAGGTGCTATGCTAAACAAAGTATATAACATAAGAAAGTGAAATGTAATTGTTTGTAGAAATGAAAGAAACTTCGAACTGTCATTGTCTGCCGTAATTGGGGCTGTACACACATTATCATCATTTATTGCATAAATTCTTCCAATGATACAGTAGGACAGTCCAATAATACAGAAACTGTCTCAAACAAAAACACTGTCTCAAACAAACAGTGTCGGCTGAGTTTCAATATCCTCCTTCTCCATTTCTTTTACACATTCGTCACCGAATTCTAAAGCCAATTGATGAGAGATGAGATGTTTTTGTGTGGCATTTGTAGGGGTGGAGGGTGAAAGTAGCTTAGATGAACAAAACTGGCTTGTGTCACAGGCTATTCTGAGGGTATTTCAAAGCCAAGTTAGCCTCCTTTCTATGAAACAAGCAAAACCACTTCTCTTTCATTTCACACCTCTTAAATCTCGCCTGCGTGGCTTGTGTTTTCTGTATTTTGTTCTTTCTCAGAAGGGAAAATCTTTTCTTAAGCAATTTACATTTTGTGTTAAAAGAAAAAATGCTTGAAAATACATAGTAGTTTGTTGGGACCGTTGTATTATTTTGTGTTAATTGATATCTCGTCTTAAGCGTTTTCGCGTTAATTCTAATTCACTGTAATTGAATACATTTTTTAAATCTGGCCCCCACAAAAAATTTCCAATTTATAATTGGCCCATTGTAAAAAATGTTGCTGACTCTTACCTATTATCATTTATTTAACCTAATGTATTCAATGAAGTTCCGTCTTATAACCTGTATGGAATGAGTTGTTTAGATTTAATATTGTGTGTCCAAGAGGTGCTGAACATACAAATTAACTGTTATCGGTTACCTAGTTTTTAAAAATGATTTATTTCTACACTAAATTCCATAGTATATATTATGAAGATGATGAAAATTTATAATAAAACATCAGGAAAAAATCAGTTTTTTTTTTTTTTTTTTTTTTTTTTTTTTTTTTTTTTTTTTTTTTTTTGTTTCATATGCTTTCTGAAATGAAGTATGAAAATTTAATTTTTATAAGATATAAGTTATTTATATTTTCAGGCAAAAATACTGAGGCAAGAAAATTAGAGAACAACATCTGTTCACTATTGAATGAAAGATTAGATTACTGTGTACTATTCTTAGAAAAGAGATTGTTATACAAATATTAATTTCGTAGGTAGTTTAAAAACAGAGAGCTTTATATTTAACACTAAGAAAATTTAGTACACAAAGGGGATCACTTGGGTCTACTAAACAATATTTTATGTCATCTTATCATATTAATAATTTATAATTACAATGTACAAATACATTTTAATTTTTAATGAAAATTAAATTTAAATGATTTCAGATATTAAAGTTGTTGAAAGTATAGTTTGATTTTTGCTTGGCATCATCTGTTGTGATTATTGCAGTTTTTAGTAAACAACATAGAAGAAGTATCAGACTAATTTGTCTTAACTTTTAATGTGAAATTATGATGCAGAATCTGTTGAAGTTGCATATATTTTCTAAATTCTTCTAGTTAGATCTATTAAAAATAATAATATTTAACATATCTTAAATCAGTATTTTAAGATTTTTCTTATTGCATTAATTGTCATGAAATTCATGATTTGTGATTTCATTATCTGTTTTAGATACAGTTTCTAGCAGCATCATAAATTCTGCTGGAAATATCATAGGTGAAAGTATAATCACTGTGCAAAATGGTAAGATGTTTCAGATTTATCTTAAGATTATATGTTATTGATCGATTGTATGAAAAGCAATTTCAAGGCTAACATCCATAATGAATATTTCCCTTTTCAAATTATTGTTTTATTAATTTTATAACAATTTTGAATTGATTCCCCACCTTTTTCTTACATTGACCCCTTTTTAAAAAAGTGATTGTCTTCATTTTACCCTTTACATTTTTCTTTATAATCTACAGCATGCAACATAATCATAATACAAAAAATTGCATGTAAAGAACTTAAATATAACAGTTAGTCTAAGAATAAGAATAAAACTTTTGAAGAAAATAGTTTATTTGATTTATATTTTATTACTTTTTTATTATTAATATTACTGTTACTTTTATAAATGTAAACTAGTTTTTGGAAACAAAACCACAGATTCTAATTGCTCAAAATATTTTAATTAATGTGATATCTGCATTTGTTGCATTGATGCAATTTTTTAATATTTGCCATAAAATTTCTTATCTTAACCTCATTTAAAAATATTTAATCTGTTTCTTGTTCTCTGCAGTAAATTATTGATTTGACTGCTTTCAGTAAGTAAGAAGAGGGAAAAGCCAATAATGTTGGTTCAATAATAACTTTTATTTTAGGACATTTTTCTCAGGTGATTTTTAAATTCCAAAACTTTTGTTTTGGATAAGACATGCTTGAACATCTTCCTTCGTCATCATCATCGTCAGCTTGAACATCTTCAGTCAACTTTCATGCATTATAATATTAAGATAATTATATATTGCAGTTCAGCTGTTCTATGAACCAAACTGGCACATTAAAATTTTCAGTGCCTCGGAAGTAGAAATTAATATCCTTTTCCAGTTTTGCAGGTGGCTTATACACTCATTGCCATAAAAATTTGTGCACCAAGAGAGTTGTCATAATGAAATGAAATTTTACATATGTAAGTACTACTTTGATATAAATAAGTTATTAGAAAATCAAAGAAAAAAGTACACATGAATGGAAGTTTTAGTACTCTGTTGGACCACCTCTAGCACGAATGCACGATGCAATACGAGCAGGCATTGATTCATACAAGTTCCGTATGGTGTCCTGAGACATCTCGAACCACAATTGCTGTAAAAGCGCCTGTAGTTCGGCCAGTCTCATAGGCTGTCCAACTTGCTGTCCCAAACGATCCCAGATATGCTCGATTGTGATAAATCTGGGGATTGAGCAGGCCAGGTAAGGGTGTTAATGTGGCGGAGGCAGTCTTGTGAGATCCGTGCTGTGTGTGGCCAAGCATTGTCTTGTTGAAAAACAGGCTCCTGGAAGCCCTGCCATGAGTGGCAACACATGTGGCTGAAGGATGTCATGGACGTACCAGTGGCCTGTCATTGTGCCGATCAATCAATATTAGGGGTGACCATGTATCATAAGCAATGGCACCCCATATCAGTCATCACACCAACTGTGGGAACAGTGTGTCACTGTAAAGCGAATGCAGGATTGAGGCTTTCACCACGAACATGGTTGTTATAACTGGTCAAATTGAATCTAGATTCATCGCTGAAGACTTGGTTCCAAGTCCAATTCTGTGTTATGCGCGATACTACTCCAAACAAAGGCATCAGTGGGTATCATTGGCAGCACACATAATGGGCGCTGTGATACCAGATGTCCTTCAACCAGGCGCCTTGCAATGGTTTGGGAAGACACAGGGACCCGTAATGAAGCTGCTTGTGTTTCGATAGCGGCCGGTGAGGCAGTTAACTCTACCCGTGCGTGTCTTATGATGTAACGGTCTTCTCGATGACTGGTCTGTCAAGGACTTCCTAAGCCTGGCCGCCATGTAAATGACGTCTCTTCTGTCTCACAGTAAAATCAAAACAGCCTACCTGATGAGCTACTCGCCGAGCTGACCACCCAGCTTCCATCATCCCGATGATTCTTTCCCTCTCGAACTATGACAGCTGTTGATACTGTCACTCAAACAAGCTCTGCTTACCTGTTTTATACTCCAAGAAGAACGAAGTTCAATGCCCTCTAGTGACATTGCGCAATGCACAATCATGCTGCATTTCCAATCATTTGTATATCTACCCGACATGTACCTTCATGCCAAGTTTCATTATGATCCTACAATTGCTTCTTGGTGCGCAAATTTTTATGGCAACGAGTTTATATAACACTTCTGCAGAAGTTTTGGATTTCTTATATTTTTTGTGACCTATTTCACTTATTTTATATTGCACATTTACATAAAATATATATATACGTTTTAAGGTATTGATTTAAAAAGTATATTAAGTGATTTTTTTACATTTTCCCCTTATATTTATTTTATATGATTTTTTCCTTACTACATGATATAGCTTTATATCAGTAAACAATTAATTATCATTTTAACAACATTAATATTTTTTTGTAATCAGTGGATCTTCATTATCCCAATTAAATATCCATGCATATTCCCTCTTTAAAATTTCATCGATCCCCATGGAGTCAGTACTGAACCTATTGGATACTTTTGGTCTAGATACTTATGGCAAAGTATGTAAAGGCCATCTGTAATAGAAAGTATTCCTGTAAGCAAGACTTTCTGTGAAAAACTCTCTACAGCTAGCCTTTTGATTAAAATTGAATGCATTCTGTGGTCATATGCATGCAGCCTCTGGTAGACTTGTCTGGGAAGACACTTAGAAAAGACAAATATCTTCCATACTGTGTATTAATTGTAATCCATTTTGTACATCAGTTTGTTTCATACATGTTTAGATGTACATGTTTTCTGTATTACTATAAGGTTCAGTTTTATTTGCATTCTTTATCATTTTATATTCACTTTTATGATTTAATTTTACTATGCATTTGTATGGGAAGACTTCTGAATAATGGAGTAATTCTGAGTCTCACTCAGCTTCCAACTGTATACCACAGTTTCATAATGCAGTGCTTTCAAACTGGTGGCCCATGGACCAAATGCGAAGCAGTTTTATGTGGTGCTTGAATATATTTCAAATATATATTTCTTGCAAAGCCTTCAAGATTTCAATTATTTGAATTCTGAGTTTACATTTCATTACAATTAAAAATGAACATGAATAACACATTAGAAAATATAGAGCTAATTAATTCAAAGTGTGATATAAATCTTATTCAAAGATTTGAAGATACAGAATTAAATTTTATTTGTACACTTTAAAAAGTAAATAAACTCAGTTATAAATTTTTGTACTAAAAATATTTTTTTGGGAGGGGAATACCACATGTGAATAGCTTTTTTTCACAGATGAAAATTAATAAAAAAAAACCTCCAATTAACTCATAATCATCTACAATCCGTGATGAGGATAATTTCCAGTAATTTCTCTTCAAGGCTTCAACTTTATCAGAATTTATACATCATCAGTTGACAAACTGTAGTAAGAAATAAAGAAATTTATTATTATTTACATACAAACATTTGTATTTTTTCTCTATGTGTGAAAGAAAAATGTGATAAATAAGAAAGACTAGGTTGTCATTATTTTTTCTCAAGTTTTGTCCCTCCTGGAAAATTTTCTCTGAAACCTAGAAGGTTTTCACAATTTGTGTATTTTTAGTTTAAATTACAGTAAATTATTTAATGATCATTTAAACATGTTAGAATTATTTTAAATAAATGTCAGTCTGAAAATTTAATATTTAGCTGTCAATATATGTTTTATTTTATTTATAAAAAATTTTCATTTTGTTAAAAAAAAAAAAAAAAAGTTCTGTCTTTTCAATGGTTTCCAGATTGTACATTCAGCCTGCATGCAGTTTGAGTTTGAGACCACTGTAATAATGTGTTTGAATTCCTGCCATTGTATCTGCTATATATATATATATGTATATATACAGTACAAAGTCCATAATCCTGACGTCCATTATCTGGAATGATCTATAATCTAGACCTCAAAGCCACAAACTTTTTTTTTTTTTTTTTTTTTTTTTTGTATGTATGTTTTATGCATGTGCATTTAATGTATAATGGACAGTATAAGCTAGGCTAAAATTATCTTTACTGATTCTAAGGCATTTCAGTTAATGTTGCAGATTGTGCTGTTCCTTAATCTTCTAATTGGTTCCGGCTTATTATTTTTTGCAGACTGTTAGAGCAATCTTATAAAAATTAAGCTTGAACTTTTGATTATGTCAAAAAGAGTTTCCGATTCTGGAGCTGCCAAAGAATCTACAAAGAGAAAGCATGTTTCGATGTACCGCTTCCAATAATGAAGAAAGTGACAGAGAGGTTATTGAAAATGAAAAAATTTTGCTTCACATGTTAGTTGGTGTTCTCGACTCAGCAATTACAGGACTTGAACAATGGAACTGAACAAGAAATTATGTCTGTTTATAGAATTAAAGAGAAAGTATTAGCACAAAAAAACGAAGCAACTTAAACAACTTACATTGAAAGAAATGTTTAATAAAGTAAACAAATAAATATTAAGCTTTTTTTTTTTTTTTTTTTTTTTTTGTGTGTGTGTGTGTATAAATTTTGATACCCTTTAGATCATAATTGCTCTTTATTTCATAAATTACAGTTTCATATTTTAATTGTATATTTTCTGCATGACATCTTACCAGATTTAAATTGATAATCTATAATCCGGAAAAATCCCTAATATGGAATAATCCCTAATCCAGAATTGGCGAAATCCCAATGAGTCCGGATTATGGACTTTGTACTGTATTTGTAATTTCATTTTCTTCAATGAATAGAAGAATGTTTTCAATACTTTATTACTGAAGAAGAGCTGTTATTTACATATTATATGTATACAATAACTCATAGTTTGAAAACATTATATTCACAATATTCCTGTGTTCACAAGCTAGTTGGCAATTTAAATAAACAGCATATTCTTTTGAGGCAACCATTTTTAATAACAACCAATAAATATCAGTATGGGTTAGCTCCTCAAGGTAAAGTGAATAATCACTTTAGAGAGGATTCTGTGTATAATATTTTGCTAGACATAATATCATACCATTCAGCATATCTACTACACGTTGATATGTAATATTTCCTTAAGAATCCAACTTGCCATTTTTGGACAATTATAAACCTTTTAGTGGTTAACTTGATTACCAAAATTCATGGATATTTCCATGTGATTTTTAAAACTATGTTTGCTTTGTTAACATTTAAGATATCTAAATTCATTAAAAGTTAAATTATCTATTATTAATTATTATACATCTATCATATGTACTACATAAAGGTCAATGAAAAGAATTCAGTTATCTTAGTGACTGAAATTTTGGAATATAATTCAGGAGTTAAAAATCAAAATATGTTATTATATTAAGTTAAGCACTATAAAATGTGCAGGCATAATGGATTTAAAAAATTTTGGAGCAAGATTGTTTCTGAATACAAATTCAGGCCTAAAAATTAAGAAAATTAAACAAGGTTGAAGTTAATAAAACATGAAGAATACTTCAGAGACAGATATTTGAGCTTAATAATGCAGATATATTTTAAATTGGGATACTTAATTCCATATATTATTTTCAAGCAATGTATGCATATTAAAATGACTGTTTTAAAAGGTTTATGCAACTTAGTTCAAATCTATTCAAAAAATTTTTTTAATTAAATGTACCTTGGATTTTCTTTTTCTTCAGTTAAAAAATGTTCACATGAATTCCATTCTTGTTTAATTTTATTTTTGATGTGGCTTTAAACTTGTGATTTATTAAGCTGCAGAGTAAAAAGGTACAGCAAATTATTTGAAAAAAATTTAACATGTTTATTGTATTCCAAAGAATTTTATGTTTATATGATATTTTTTATTTGCAGAACGATTTGATTTACCTGCAGCTGTTGTATCTTCTGAAAAGAAAGAACTACATACCATAATTAATATAAAAGATGAAATGCTTTCACCTGAGAATATTACAGAGCAGCAATCTTTAAGTTAGTGCTGATTTCAAATTTAAATTAATTTTATAATTAAATTAATTTTATAATTAAATAATTAATTTTTTTTTCAGTAGTGTAATTATGTAGTTCAGCATTTCATGCCAGATTTAAATTATTTCTTGGTTGCAAATTGAATTGAAAAATGAGTATATTGTTAGATTATTAATATTATATTTGATCCTTACAAATGCTGATGAGTTTAAGAATGCTTATTGTTGCTAGAAAATACTGTCATTTTCAACAGAAAATGTAGTGGAAAACTTACCATATGAACAAAAAGTATGATGAAATTTCATACCCTGAATAGGCAAAATATTAGATGCACATTTGTAATATTTTGGAAACTCTCATTAGTTTATGTCATTATGTTTCTATTGAAATACAAAATTACATTTCAGTGTGATTTGCAAACTGCTGATCAAGATGTAAACCACAATGAAATCTAAGTAGTTTGCATATTAAATTGATAAATAATGGCATTGATAAATAATGTAAGGGCAAAAAAAAACTGCAAGTAAATGAAATGACTGAGATCAAAATGGAAAATTTCCATAGTTTTCAGTCTAATATTATTGTGACTGCTAAAAATTCAATATATATATATATATATATATATATATTAAGTGTAAAATTCTTGTGTACATCAATATAGAAATGTAACTTGCACAGAATTTGTTTTTCAAGTTTTTTGTTAGTTAATTATGATTTAAAGCAAACTTATATTTGTTAAATGTGCATCACTTAAACAGCTAAAATATAACTATAATTTTGATATTGTAATGGGAGACCTTAATTATCGTATTATATGTATCACATGATCCTTAAAATGGGTGATTGGCTAGTACATTTTAATTATATGAAATACATTCATAAATACCAACATAATACTGTCTGAACTTGTATAAGCCATGTTATTCTTAGTTACTAAAGTTGAAAAATGCCCAACATAATCATTCATCCCTTATGCTTTCTCTTCCATCCATGAGCATCTTGTTTTACCTAAGGAAACAGCATCCCTTTAAGCTATCATCAACAACTCCAAAGTTTCCATGATTAGCAGATTTTCCAAGTTTTGTGCTAAACATTAATATAATGTAATTAATATTCATAATACTACTCAAAACTTCTTTCCATTGTCTATCATGACAAGCTATATAAACTACTACAGTCAAAAGTCGTTAATTTGGACACCCATAATCCGGAATGATCTATAATCCGGACCTCAAAGCTAAAACTTTCTGCGCATGCGCCGCGTTGGCACATGCGCACAGGCGTTTTACGCATGGGCGTAAGACCTTGACTACTGCGCATATGCGTGTGCGCAAGTGCAGAATACATTTTCACCTGCGTGTTTAATGTATAACGGACGGTGTAAGCTAAAATTATCTAATTATCTATTTCAGTTAATGTTAATGATTGCGTTGTTCCTTAATCTTCGAATTGGATCCCGCTTATTATTTTTTGCAGACTGTAAGAGCAATTTTATAAAAGTAAACTTGAACTTTTGATTATGTCAAATAGAATTTCCGATGCTGGAACTTCCAAAGGATCTACAGAACGAAAGTATGTTTCGATGTCCAACAAACAAAAAGTGGAATTGCTGCAAAAAATGGATAAAGACATGAAGAATGTGACAGAGAGGTTAGTGAAAACAAAAAAAATTTCGATTGACAAGTTAGTCGGTATTCTTGGCACAGCAATTAACGGGACTTGAACAGTGGAACTTTGTAACTGAACAAGAAATTATGTCTTTTTATAGAATTAAAGAGAAAGTATTATCACATAAAAATGAAGCAACTTAAACAACTTACATTGAGAGAAATGTTTAATAAAGTAAACAAATAAATATTAAGCTTTTTTTTTTTTTTTTTGTAAATTTTGATACCCTTTAGATCATAATTGTTCTTTATTTCATAAATTACGGTTTCATATTTTTAATTTTAGAATTTCTGCATGCCATCTTACGAGATTTAAACTGATGATCTATAATCTGGAAAAATCGATAATCCGGAATCGCCGAAGTCCCGACGAGTCCGGATTAACGACTTTTGACTGTATATACTTTGGTAGCATACTGACTGCTACAGAAGTGCAGACTCAGCTAAAGAAGTTCAAACTGCATAGATGGATGTTATTCCCTCTATCTGCTTCAACCTTCAAATTCCTGCCCTTCAGTGTTGCTCAAAAATCATTCTTATTATTTTTCAAGTTAGGTTAGGTTAGCTTATTTGAATATAGTTTGGCACATGTGGGCTCTCTGCCTTGGGGAAGGGATGCCCTTTTGGGGAACTTCTTAAAGGAGATTTGTTTGTGGTCATATTACAGATGAGGAAAAACTTGAAAACTAGCCATGCAGCCAGCCTGTTCACCATGCAGATATAGAAACCTTGGTTGAACTCCCATCATTCAGCGATCTTAACTTCTCAGTCTCTGGTGGGGCTATACTTTTCAGAAACATCATATAGTAATTCCATAGACTTAACATTTTGCAGAAGTAATAAAATCTGCTAGGAATTTAAAATTTATTCTATTAAAAATATATGTAAACTATCTATTTAAAATCGTGTAAAATTTTTAAACTCTTCTTAGCTGAAACTGTTTTTATTTTTCTAATCATTGAACTAATATTCTGCGAAGATAAAAGCAGAGTTATATTGTAACATTTGTTTTTAAAGATTGAGAGTAAATGTAAATGTATAAATGTATTTACTATTATATGATATAATGGTCAGATTTGTTGTTTGTTTCTTTTTAAAACAAAAGCCCACCAGTATTTAAGTGTCTAAAAGTTTCTATACTAGTATGGAAATGAGTTAACTGCAATCTTATAGAAATCATATTGATACTGTATTGTGTTTATATAATACTTAAATTTAAGTTAAATATTTAAGTTGACAATATTTTTATTATGTACTGAAGTTTAAACTTATAATTATTATTAGTGACTGTGTGCTTTTGATTGCATTAAAACCCGCGTGCCAAGAGTACACTTGTGATGCCATTGCCGCTGCGCCCCCCCAAAAAAAACAGAGGATTTAAACCTAAATTTGCTTATATTCAGCTTTTCTGCCTTCAGCGTGAACGAACAGCCCGGAGTTAGTATCACGTGTCATAATGTGAAGAAACTTCTTGTTTACATTTTTCACTATGGCATTGAACCCATATAGCAGTGAGCTTTTGTTTCAAAAGATTGTAATTACCCACATCAATGAAATCTCACATGTTATGAATTCTTCAAGCCTAGAGATTAGTAGAAATTATGAGTTCTCATTAAATAAAAAGCTACGTATTTATAAGGGAATTATCTAACCAATATATTCATAAGTTTTACTTTTATGGAGTACCAAAAAACAATAAGCATCTAAACAAATTATATTTTCTGCAAAATCAGTCTCTCTTCCTTACCAACTGTTCTGTATTTCATGCATAACAATAGGCTCTATAACTCAATATCAAATACATGAAAAAATAACTTCTACAATAAAGCAGCTGTCTGTAGGAAAATATTCTATAAAAAAAAACAGATATGAAATTTTCTAAGACAGTTACAACTTGGACCATACAACACGCAGTTATTGAAAATTAGATAAATTACTTCTACTCTGACTTTTGTTGCAGTGACTTTGACTGACTAGTTGTTCCATTATTTTTGCATGTGAGCACCATCACATCTAGCTGAGCCTAATTGGCTAAACATGGACTTCACTTGCGTCTTCTTTTGGACGAATTTCTGCCAGACTCATGCAGATGCATCTTTAGAATTAAATTTTAAACCCACTCTGTTTAAATTGTCTTTCATTTGATTAATTTCATTCTTTTGTTTTGTAATTATAATTATTTCTGTTGCTTCTAATACTGTACAAAGTCCGAAATTCGGATTACACATTAAAATTCAGGCTTCTGGATTGTAACAACTTTTTAAATTTTTTTCGCCATCACATTTGATACTTTTTCATAATAAAACATGTAGAGAATCCCAATTTTTAGTTTCACTTTGGCCCTGATACCAAGAAAATTATTATTTATTATTCTTTGCTTTCATCACTGCATGTCTATCAGCCTACTGCAGCTTGAGAAAAGGGTCACGCAGCAATAAACTTTATAATGTAATAATTCTAAATATGTAGATGAAGGCATTGGACCTTTAATAGCTTATGATATTGTGTAGATGACTGAGAAAACTGTAGTGACTTGAAGGTGGCTGAGTGGAAAAACACAATGACGCATTTAGCACAATGGATCGTTTTCAATCATCGTTTTTCAGACAAGATATTTCTTAATTATATTTGAATACAATAAGTTCCATTTTGAAGTACAATGTAAGCAAGTAAGCAGCAGCAGTATGGTTGAAAAGCATTTTGCCAGCAAGGAGAGCTTATGCGAAAGAGGGGAGTGTCATAGTACTTCAGAGGGAGAAGGGTGGGAATCAGAAAAGTTTCAATTCCATTAGAAAAAGTTTTGGTTTAGAATTAATTTGATTGGACAAGAGGTATCTGCATTAAAACGTTACGTAAAATAGAAAAATCTGGAATCTGTGAAAAGGGATGAATTTAGGGGCACATCATCAAATTTAGAATTTAAATTCCAAGATCGCCAATTATTTTTCAAAACAGCCATCGTATTTTGTTATATCTTACGTAGTGATTTTTCACAATTGTATTTTCCTTTGTTTCATTACCTCTGTAACGCTTTTCCTAAAAAGACTTTTTCTCTTTGAAAGGGGGGGAAGTAAATCAAAATTATAATTTAAACTAATGGTAAACTCTTTAATTCTTCCTCTCTGTTTTAAAATTTGTAATAACTTCTCCGGATTGCACCATTTCTAGATACATTTCCATTTTGCATGGCCTGCACAATGCTGATGAGGTAATAATTGTAAACTGAAACTTTTTAACTCAAACCAAAACTTTTCTTTTTGTGTGCTTCCATCTTGCATAACTATGCACTTTAGCTTTGCTCTCTGCCCTGCTGGGATGTAGTTTTCACCATCTTGCTTGCTATTATACTAACATGTAAATGTTCTGTGAATAGGCACGACTAGTGTGCCAAGTGACTGTGGCCACAAAAGTCAATTGCAAATGAAAATGGAATTAAAACTGTCTCGACTGCCAAGTTCTTTTAGATATTACGAAGTCAACATATTAGCATACTATCCATTCAGAATGCTTCCTCTTCAATATGGATTTACATACACATCAACACTGCTCCGTCTTTTCCTTGCTTTTATTATGTCATATATATATATTTTAGTAACTGTAAAGGGCATGGTAACTTTTTGTCTTAACATTATGCTTAGCGATGATTACATAATAATAATAGATAATTGCTAATTCTGCAGCTAAGATTTTGAGTGTGTTGACAAGGATAAATTTATTTCTATGTTGTCATTGTTGTCTTGTCCATAAATTTCATGGAAGAATGATTCCTGGAGCCTCAGAGAAGTTGGACTTTTACTTCCACCCCAGTTTTGAGGGAGAGCGTCCTGGGGTCAGTCTGAGGCAGCTGAACATCTCCACCCCTCTCCCCTTCCACCAAACCACACAAAAGGACTTTTGGCTTGTCATATATTTAGAGTGCCTCCATGCCGCAAAGATAGAGAAAGTATTAGCATATAGAAAAATGAAGCAAATTAAACAACTTACAGTGAAAGAAATTTTTTAAACAAACAAATAAATGTTGAGCTTTTTGTGTAAATTTTGCCTCCCTTACGTGATAAACGCTTCATTATTTCATAAATCACCATTTCATATTTTTAATTTCATAATTTCTATATGTTATCTTGCTAGATTTCAATTGATATAATATCCAGAAAAATCCCAAATGTGGAATCTGCAGAGTGCCGATGAGCCCGAATCTCAGACTTTGTACTTTATTAATAGCATTACTTATTTCTGCAAGAGTGATATCAATGCATATAATAGTTTTTTTCCTTTCTTTTTGGGGGGAGGAGGGGGTAGTTATTATGTTTTTTAATTTTTTAACTTATTTCTTTTAATATCTATAGATTTATTTCCTTATTTTTTATTTTTTTAACTATTAATGGTTGTATTTGTAGGTGCAAAACATAGGAAAGATAAGTTTTCAACAGATTCTTCATCACCAGCTTCATCATTAGACGACTTTGAAATTGGAAAAACGTAATTCTTAATAATTTTTAGAACTATGCATATTCAATTTAGTATAAATAATGCTTCATCAAAATTCAGTAGATTTTCAGACTTTTCCTTCCTTCTTTAGTTTTGATAAGAAGTGAAACTTTTCATTTTTAAGATTTCAGATTTTATATTAAACATACAAATGAAAAAATTGCTAATAAAACTAATAAAACATTAAATTAAGTTTTTAATTTTATCAATGTGCACATTAGGGCTAAGATTCTGGTTTGCTTGGATCAAATTTAAAATGAAATTACTACTGAGTAATTTTTTCACTTGCCCTTGGTGCACCTTTCTGTGTTATGTATTTAATAGCTCATTTAATTCACCCTGATGACTAATATATTCAGAAAAAATCTTGGCAATATCGCTGTAAATTGTTAGCAATTTTAATTGTACTAAAACTGTTCAAATTTTATTCGTTCTAGAATGATTTCCTGCCCCATTTGAAGCAGTCAGATAACAATCCTGTGTGAAATTCCATTTTTTCCCCATGATAAATTTATTGCTGTAAGAAAGTTTTGCTTCTCGATTAATATTGTAATAACGGATTAAAAGTTTAAATTTAACAGAATAGTATTAAAGACAAATATTTTCTTAACAAACTTTTTAACAAAAAATAAAATTGGATTGTATGGTTTATGGAAGGATGCACTTCAGTTATCTGCCTAAGGGAAGAGATATTTTCATGGATCATCATTATTTCAACTTTCTAAGGGAAGGTGGCCTTATGAGGATAATCTGGAATACATCATGCATTTTGGTTGGAATATAACTGAACTAGCAGTATTTTGTAATTTAGCTCCTTAACATCCGATTTTTGCCTGTTACCAGAAAAACATTGTTTATACATATGTGCAAACACAATAACATAAAACAAATATCATGAAGTTTGAATCATAATTTTGAATCCAAAAATTTGTCCAGTTGCAATTTTTTTTAAACATAAACCACCTTTCTAAATTGTGAAAACAATTTTCCTAATATAATGTAAGTTAGCAAATACAACAAAAGAGCTTTTATTTTTTGAAACATAAGTTGAATGAAATATTAATAGGAGTCTCTTGATATCCAATAGGCCCAGTGGCACAGTGGCTAGCGTATCACGCAGCAGCACCACATTCCTGGGCTGAGCAAGGTCGACTCAGCCTTTCATCCCTTGATTTCCATCACTTAAGTTGATAAAATGAGTACCAAGTTCACTTGGGGACTGAACACTGGGGGTCCTGCAACAAGCTGACCACTTGTTCAGGGCAAACGCTTACACACCCAGGGCCCACGGTCAAGAAAACAGATTTCAGGCACTGCAGGACTTGGCTGATTAGGGCTGTTATGCCCACTGAGTTTGGTTTTGAAATCCAATACCATAAAAGCATTAGAGAAACTTATAGCTCTTATAAATGTAATGATTAATGTGATTATAATCATAATCATTTATTCAACATGTTCTTGAAACACAAATACTTTATCAAAAGTGTACATTGAAATGTAAAAAATTCCTTGTATTTTGGGATCTGTTTTGTATGGCTGAATGGTCTGGCTACATGAGTTTTACTGTTTACTTTATTTGTAACATAAATGTGAGTCAATTTCCTTACAATCCTTCTTACATTTCTACTCATAGGTAGGAGTCCTAATGCATGCTTTGATATAATTAAATAATAAAATCCTCATCCTGCTTTATGATGTGGTATGGAGACAGTGTGATGTCCCTTTTGTGAAAGATTCCATTGTCTTAATCATCATAAAAATGTGTAATTTACCTGATCAACCACAATATTTAAGTAAGTTTGAAGTTTGTTACTTCAAACTTACTTAAAGGGATAACATACTTCAAAGATAAAAGAACGATAACTTACTTCAAAGAGTTTAAAAGGAAAACTTACTTCAAAGGTAGTAAGTCCAAATGCTGTTTTAAGGAGATACTGATCTAGTATTATACACTTTCCACCTGCTTTAGGGCATTTAGATGAGAAAGAATTGATGTGTAAACATCGCACATAAGCATGCCTTCCTCATGATGTAACAAATTTCACATTTGACCATATTGGTCATCAGTGGCTAAATTTTGGTGATTATTTGCCCATTTCACATATTTATAAAAGGATAAGTAATTATGAATGTATACGCGTAAAAATGTGTTTTCAGCTGTAAAAACCCGTATCTATAAACAATCGATGAATTCTTGATTGGACATGTTTGGTCCATTTCCAGGATTCACATTATAATTATTGCCAACGACAATAGCCTTTTTCACAGGACAAGGATGAGGCACTTGCCTCAGGCGAATAACAAGAAGAGGTGCCAGATTATCTATGAAAATTTAGAAATTCTTTTTCAAGGGGAAAAAATTTGCAATTATTAACTTTCAATTTTGGAACACATTAAGAAGTATCAAAAGAATTTTATGTTTTTAAACAATCCACCTGAATCAAGAGAAGAATTCATAAAATTATTTTTTCTCAAAACTGCTGATGTTTTATAGTACTCTGTATATACTCGTATATATATATATTATTTTCTGACTTTAAAGTCCGTTAACTGAACATGGACAGTGATACAGCAGCCTACAGTTTTTGCAACAGATTTATCACATAAAAACTTATTGGAATAACATCAGGAAGCTGAATAAGGATGTTTAAAAATAATATATATATCATATTTTCAGTATTTTGCTTCATTTTTTGTTTAAACTGTGTCATTGAAAAAACGCATCTTTCAAGGTTTTGTCTTGTGTTCATATTTAATTTTTGTGGAACTGTACAATTGGTTTCGTTTGCAGTTACAGATATTGGTGAACAAATTAATTGAATAGGCACATCAATTAGTCTCATTATTATGTTTTCTTTTCAATAAAATGAATTGTTTAGTGTTGTAGGGAAACTGAAAAGGAGATTTATGAATTTGAATTTTTTATGGACTATTTAAGATAAAACAATATAGCTACTTCCAATATAACGATGCTGATATAAAAGAACATGTTTTAAAAAGCTTAGTTCTGTTCTTTTGATTCTAAAGTAACCAATAAGAACATATTTTTATTAAAAGTGTAATTCTTACGAAAGAAATTTTGAATAACAGTTTCTGTAAAACTGAAATCTGAAGAAATAGAAAACAGTGAGCACTATAAAGCATTTGATTTAAAGATTTGAAAAAAAATGGAATAAAAACATCAAAATAAATTGGACTATAAATTAGATTGCAAACTTGTTTATTAGTGTGAATAGAAATTAATAGAGTAAGTTTCACGAAATTTAACTGAAGTCCTCAGAGTTAACTGATGAAGCAGGCATGATGCAACATTAAATCTGAATAACTTTAAAACAGTGCTTATATTGTAAGGATATAATGAGAACAATAAGTTATAAAATTCTATCTGACAGCTGCTCTATTGGTCATATTTAAAATAGAAATAACTGGCATAGGGTATTCTCCTCAAGTCCAGTCAAGTCTTAAGTCTTTCGTACAATAAAAATTTATTTGACTGATTAAAAAATATGCTTTTGTAAAGATTACTTCTTTGGTTGATTACAATAAAACGTGAGGTTATTTTCTTTAGGAGGGAGGCGTTTATGGGGAATATACCTAGGAATTGTCTTGTATTCAAGTTGCACATGGAGAACATTCAAAAGTTGTATGGAACCAATCCATTCACCATGAATTTTTCAAGGACTAACTGTCAGTGTCACCCATTCTGAAAATTGTGAGCATGAATTTTAGCTAAAAAACCACAAGCAATTCCCAAATGGATGAGGATTCTAAAGATTACATCATAATAAAATCTAAGTATTCATAAAAGTTTTGAAAGAAAAGTCTCCAAATCATAAGATTGTGGATTTGACAACGGAATTTTCTGCAAGTAACACTCATCTCTGTATCTTGCCCATGTTTTTGAAAGTGCTTCTGTGGAGAACATGGTACGCAGGTAGATCCAAAGTAATTTTCAGCCTAATATGATATTAAAAGAAATGTGAAAATTTCAGTAGTTTATTTTTAAATATGATCTCCCTGTAGTTCAGTATAGTTTTCATAATGAGTAGCTTTTTGTTCCTGAAAATGTAATCTGAAGGCTTCTTCTTAAAACATTCCATATCTGTTCTTTTCACGCTATCATCATTAAATCTCTTTCCATGAGTCATATATTAAAGAACAATTAATAATCATTTTAAGCTACATCTGGGCTGTAAGGAGAAGTCAAGCTCCTTAAACCCACATCGCTTCTGAATAGCATTGACATGTTACTAGTTTCAAATTGCTTAAACAAGTAAGGGTACCTACCCATCTTGAAAAGACTTTGCTCATGTAAAGTATTCATGCAAAATGCACAAAAGAGTTTTAGATAAATCCAGTCTTGCTGCTGTCTCACTGAATTTTAATCTCCTGTCATTCAGTGTTTTATTCTAGACACGTGCAGTATTTTTTTATATCAATCCTGCCAATGTTTTACCTTCTCAAAAACCATCTTCAACGGATTCTTAATAGTGAAATTGCTTTTCCAGTTCCATCACTGTAAAATAGGAAGGAGGCAAATCATGTACTCTGTGTACATGATCTGAACATTGTTTCTTTTTTTCTTTTCTTTGTTTTATTTCTAATCAAAAATTGAATCAGAGAACAGCACACAATTTTAAATGTTTTAAGACTAATTAGCACATTGCTTTTATTTTATGTCATCCCTTTCCCAAATTGGCCAGACGTATATAGGGCACACGTTTACCTCTTCATACTACAGACAAGGCAGCCTGTATATAACTCTGGTATTACTGAAGCATTATAATAATTTATTTACTTTCAGTATGAATATTTATATTAACCTACAGCTACAGGTCAGTTTTTCTCTGGAAGTTTTGATTTAATTGATTATGACAAAGCATACTAGGCCTGTCTGCCTAAGGGAGAGTTATGCCTTCATGGAAGATGTTTTAAGGAAAATTGGCTCATATAAACGTTAAAGACCATTCAAACTGGGGTTTATCTGAGTTAACACAGTTCCATGTGTCAACTAGCTCCGCTATGCCTGCAGTTCAGATTTTTGAACTTTCTGCACTATGGGAGAAAACTGGTTTTGGAAATGGGTCAGCTACATCAGTTATCTCTGTTAGTTCAGATAAACCCCAGTCTGAATGGCTCTTTACACATGGGCCAAACCATGAAGACGCTCATGCAGCTAGCCCGTTTGCCTAAATATGAATCCAGGTTGGAACTAATAGTGTTCAGCATTTTTACCACTTGGCCACTGGTGGGCTTTCTCTGGAAGTGAATAAGGAGCATATAGTGTGTGTTTTCCATTGGTTTCAGCAGTAGATATGGGTGCTTAAAGAATTACTAAAATTGGTATATGGTTTAGTAATTTTTTGATTTGAATCTTCTTTTTGGAAGTGCATATCAGTATGTAAAGTTCAACTGGTATTTCAATTATTAAATTTTTAAAATGATTAAAAATCATTATATCAAATATCACAGAGTTAAAGAAGATGGGGGAGGAAGAACAAGAATGTCTATTTTCAAAATATGTAAATCTAAAAAATTGTAATCACATGTGTTGTCTGTAATTTAGATTAATAAACTGGAAAAAAATTCAGTAACTGTCAAAAATTTGATTCAAATATTGAGGGATAAATGAGGCAGGGTTATGCTCACAGAGGCCTTTTAAGACATTTGCTTTTGAACCCACAACATCGACAGAGTCGTCTGGAGCGGTGTCACAGCCGATCATCATGGCTGCCATCAGATTGGCATCGTATAGTGTTCAGCAATGAATCCTGCTTCCATCGTGAAGCAGATTACCACCATGTTCATGTCTGGAGAGGACTGAGCCAGCAGTCCCAATCAGCCTTTGTTTTACAAAGGCATACAGCCATTACCCCTGGTGTGATGGAGTGGGGCGCTATTTCTTATGACAGCAGGTCATCTTTAGTCATTCTCTGTACATCTTTAACAGCTCAACGATATGTTGATACAATCCTGCAGCCGGTTGCATCACCCTTCATAGTCATCCTGGGGCCATTTTCCAACAAGATAATGCCAGGCCATTTTTCGACAAGATAATGCCCAGGCCACATACCATTCGCATATCTCTGGACTATCTCAGTGCAGTTGATATGCTTCCTTGGCCAGCAAGGTCTCCAGACCTTTCACCAATCGAGCATGTCTGAGACATGGTGGGCCCCCAGATTCGGGCACCCAAAATATCGCAGATCTGGAGCGACAGCTGATGAATGCCTGGCAGAATGTGTCGTAGGATGACATTAGGAACTTCTATCACTCCTTACCTAGATGAATTCAAGCATGCATTCCGCCAGGGACAGTTCGACCAACTACTAATTTGAACACTCAGTGAGTGATTGTGAGCTGTGAACAGGTACTATGACCTTGATTTTTTAAATCATTTTATTATCTGTGTATGAACTATACACACATTCAATTTCATCAAAAACAACCACTTCCTTCATGTTGCTTCGATTTTTTTGCAAAAGAGTGTATATATATGTGTGTAGATAGATAGCTACTCTGCCTTGTCAAGCAAAAGACGCCATGAAAGAATAATTGGGAGTAAATAAATAGATCTTCAGAGATGTGTATTGACAAGCTACTTAGAAGTATGGGCCATGAATAAGATAATAATGTTCCATTTTGAGCAATACATTCTTGAATATACTGCATTGTTTGTCCGAACATTGCCCTATCATATCATTATCATACATCTTTTATGTTACCACACAGATCATAATGTAGAAAAAAAAAGAGAGATTCAACAGATGCCTGAATGCTCAATTAGAGATTAGGAGTTGGATACAGTCAACGGCATATGCGTATTTTGTAATGACAAAAGAAAGCCGAGCAGTATGTGGCTGGGTATTATCATGACTTCAAAAAATAACTTTGGGGTACTTTGAAAATACAGAAGAAACAGGCTGCAGCATCTCATTAATGTTCCTCTAATGTGCATTGGAAATGAATGGCTATTTACACTAATGTACACTAATGAATGGCTGTTTACACTATGTGTCAGTCAAAAATGTTGGTGGCTTCCACTGTCTGGCCATGTTGCTTCCTTCTCGCATGTCAGTCATCATTTCTGAAGCAGAAGTAAAATTTGTTCTCGAAGACTACACTGTCCCATTCGGCACTCTTCATAACTCTGCGATGACACCTTTGCAAATGTTCTCTACATTGACTTGTTTTTAATAGAATCCTTCTTAAAGGATTAATGGACAAAAATCATGTAAGATTTTCCTCTCTCCGTACTACGTGCCATCAGGGTGTAATTGGAAAGCATGTGCACCTAGTAGTCGGAATTTGAATCCCAGGGAGGGCATTGTAGATTTCTTTGGCTTCCTGGTTCTAAAAATTTTAAATAGACGCTAAAAGTGGTGCTTGAACTAATAGATGGTGATTAAGATGTAATAACATGCCAAACAAGTATTAATTTAGAAGTCAAACAACAAAAATCAGCATTATGTATTCAAATTTTCGCAGGACTAGTTTTAATGGTTTTACCAAACCATCATCCTCTGCTGCAAAAGTGCAAATGAACGAGATAAGATAAAACAGGAGTTCAGCTACTGGCACGATCTGTTGATGAAACGAGAACTAAAACATTATTTCCTTAAAGGCTGATGGCAAACATGGATTGGAATTAGGATCGTTAACTAGAACAGAAAGATTTTTTGAATGTGAAATGCTTCTAGAAAATCTAATTCACCAATGGAAGATGCTTTTTGAATATTTTTGGCTGCAGAAAAATTTGAAAGTATGATTTTCGAACCAACAATGGTGGACAACATATGACTTCTGTGTTTCCTTTTTCCTAACATATGCCTCACGTTCCTTAACGCGAAATTTTAAAGCTCTAATTTGACCAGTGTAAATTAAACCACACTGGCAAGAAATCCTGTAAATACCCCAGGAATTAATATCCGGAATGGGGGTCCTTGAGTATGGAACTTGGAATTTTATTGAGGGGAGAATAAAAGACCCAAAAGTTGAATTTCTGTAAAATATGCATTTTTATAGCTAATTGATGGAAAAAAGGGAATGACGACAGAATTCTTATAATCTCCTAAAACAAGAGTGGGCTTTTAGTGTTTTGAGATGAGAATTTTTTAACTGCTTGATTAATAATGTTGGGTGAAAAGCCCCTGGCAATAGCCACTGCTTTTAACTAATTTAGGTCTTCATCAAGAGACAGTTTAGAAGAGCAAACTTGAAGTGCACAGAAAGCATAGGAATAAAAGGAAGCTAACTTTTGTTTAGTCAGATGATATGATTTGAAGGTGGTTGAACACATTTATTATCCCATCAATAAAATTCCGAGTTCCATACTCAAGGACTTTATTCCAGATATGAATTCCTGGAGCATTTACAGGATTCATTCCCAATACAGTTTAATTTACATTGGTCAAACTAAGGGAACCTTAAAATTTCACGTTAAGGAACATGAGGCATGTGTTAGAAAAAAGGAAACACAGAAGTCTTCTGTTGCCCAGCATTGTTGTCTGAAAAATCCCACTTTCAATTTTTCTACAGTCAAAATTATTCAAAAAAACATCTTCCATTGGTGAATTAGATTTTCTAGAGGCATTTCACATTCAAAAAAATCTTTCTGTTCTAGTTAACGACTGTAATCCCAGTCCATCTTTGCCTTCAGCCTTTAAGGAAATAATGTTTTAGTTTTCATTTTATCAACAGATGGCGCCAGTAGCTTAACTCCTGTCTTGTCTTTCTTATCTTATCTCATTCATTTGCTCTTTTGCAGCTGAGGATCATGGTTTGGTAAAACCATCGAAACTAGTCCTGTGAAAATTTGAAAACATAACCTCTCCAGTGCTCTGTAAGTGTTAGAGAATGTAAAATGTTTCTTTCTCCTTAACTCATTCCATCATGGTGTAATTGGAAATCACATCTGGGAAGGAACACTATGGATCACATCAGGAACACTATGGATTTCTTCGCTTTCCTGGCTTCAAAAATTATAAATAGACCTTACTGTCAAATCTGCATGAGTTGACACTAAACTGTCTGTATTGATATTGAATGGAGGGTTTTCTGTGCATTTTGTAAAGTATCTTCATAGGTTACAGTTTGGTTGGTACAATGTTGTATGCTTCAGTTAGTGTATGCTGACATCCATACTCCTTGCTGCACATTCTCTACACACTTCACATTTTTTCCTATATCCATTGCCACCAAATCAAGCGAACACATATGGCATCAACTGACATTTCCTCTTTAATATGGCACAAGGACAAACAAATAGTACATGGCATAAACATCTATGTTGAAATTTAGTGCACTTTGACATTCATCTTCTTGCTCTAGAACCACTACACTCTGATCATTACTTTTGTGGGTCAGTTGTCGGCAAATCCAAGAATACATTTTCTCTGCAATATGATGCAAGGATCAACTAGCAGTTCACAGACCTAACGTGAAGACCTTTAAACTCATACATATACTGTCACTGAGTATGATGTCAATTATGTTTACCTTGTTTTTCATTCACCAGATTTGGAAACGGTAGAAAAGCTCACATGTTAATAGTATAGTATACGCATATTTTTCTTTGCATTTCAAAATTTTAAAAATGCTAAAACAGAATTTTATTTTTTCCTTGCACTTTTTATGAAAGTATTGGAACTAAAATGTATTATATATATATTATTGTCTTTTACTAACAAACTTTTATTTCTCTGCAGCCAACTGCACAGATTTCGAAAGAGAAAGAAGTATAAAAAGAACATGTGAGAATAAGAAGTAATTTTGTATATGCCCTGTAATTCTTAAATGAATTTCATCAAAAACTATGATTATGTTGATTTTCAGTTTTTCTAATTATTTAAAAATTTATGTTATATTTTCATTATTATATATAAAAATAGTGCAATATTATTTTTATATTAAGTTAATGATTGTGCATTTTTTGCATGAATTATGTTTTTATTACTAATAAATGTTGTAATGTATTTTATTTGAAGAATATTTTAATTTCTTACTTTAAAACACAAATTTTCTCTTTTGAAAGCTAAAACAACATATAAGAATTATGCTAGTTGTAATAGAACACTAAATAAATATTTTTAATCAAAAAGGTAATGCTACATGTTTTCTTTCAAAGCATTTGATTACTAAGTTTATGAAAATTCCAAATAAAAAATTTTGTTGCAATAAAATATCAGATTATTTTGAGAAGTAAATTTCATGATATAGGAAATGTGAAAATATTTAAGCTGGATTTGTGTTTGGATAATGGCAAAGTCAATCTGCATGAGTGGGAAAGTTTGTGCAAACAACTTTGCAGAGAGAAACTGGCTTATATTCAGTGATGAGTTATGAAAGTATTAACAAGTTGATCTCAATTAAAAAACATTAAATTCTAATTAAATAATTTACTTTTATGAAAAGAAAAATTATAAATAAGGTTGCATAAGGCAAAGAAGAGCTAAAATTTTATAATATAGAATAATGAATGCACTTATTCATTGACAGTCTTTGTTGATCGGATGCCTGATACACAGCACACAAAGTCCTCACTAGAAACCAGGAGTTTTCGCTTTGCAATGTGGTGAGTGTTCTGAAGATTTGTGCTTTTATCTAAACGTTCATCAGCATAGTTATTTATCATATATGTGTAATTTTTTAATGACTTTACCTCATTTTGGAGTTATTAGAGATAAAAGTGAAACCACCAAATTCTGGGTTGTGTTTCCTGGTTCTGAAAAATCTTTCTTTAAATACTCTCTATACTGCTCCAGAACTTCAGAATCAATTGTTCAGAATTCACTGTATCACACCCACTAGAGTTTTGAAAAAAAAGAAACGTTCCAATAAATCCTAGTCATTGAAAATTGTGTTGATTTCCTAAGAGAAAGCACTGAAGAATCCCTTCAAGAATTCAAAGTTCTGACAGTTATTTACACACTGTTTGTGCTCTGTATTTGGCCATTCAAACAGTGAAACAATTTGCAATAGAGGAACAGAACAAATTTTCCAGAGGCTTCGAGAGGCACATTGGAAGATGCTTATGTAGATGATGTTTTCACGGGAGCAAAATATTGGTTTGGTTTATTTAACTACAGAATGCAATCGAGAGCTATCTGCCTAAAGAGATGTATGCCTTCATGGAGGACTTTTCTAAGTGAAACTGGCTTGGATTCACATTATATGTGTGGAAGACTACATAAACGTCCTTGCAGCCAGCCCGCCCACTGGGATTTGATCCTGAACTGAATTACTGGTTTGCTGCAAAGAATATTGAATAAGAAAAACAGTTAACATCCCAAATTATTGAACTCAGAAAGAAAGCCGATCTTCCTGTAAGAAAATGGTTATCTAATGAACCATTAATCACTGAATATTTACCTCAAGAAATATGAAGCTGAACAGTTGTTTGTTAGAGTGAAGAAAGTCAAATTTATACAGTTCTTGGAAGCATCTGGGATACTTAAGTGTATGTATTCAAAATTAAAATAAATTTACTTGAAGATCTCTTGACAAAATGTCAGTTTCTGTCAATTATCGTGAAAACTTATAATCCTGTTAAATTTTTTTCTCTTACAATGATTCAATTAAAATCTGAATGCAGCATTTATGGAAGGAAAATATTGGGAGGAGAATTTATTACGTAATGATGCTTCCCAAGCATGCAATATTTAAATCTCAAATTGAACACTTTGCAGAAATCAAACAGTTTCACGATATGAAAAACAATTCTGTTAGAAATAGTTAATTAGCTTTCACAATGCTTCTGAACATGCATATGCTGCAGTGTTTTATTTAAGAACAGAATTCGAAAATAAAATATTCTACCTTTCATTGATTACTTCATTGAACATTTTAAACCAAAAGTTGCTCCTGAGTAAGACACTAATATTGATAACCCTTCTCCCTCAATTAATGCTCTCAAACAATGCATTTCTACAAATACCTTTAAAACTGTCACTAATTTTGGAAAAAATATCGTGAAAATAACCCTAAACCTCTAAAAAATGCTAGCTTTTCATTTTGTTATTTCCCTTCCCACCCAGAATTTTACTTCAATGATTCCGATTAAGTGAGCTAGATTGCTACCATAAACGTTAGTAGATACGAGCTGTCAAGAAAGTTGCAAATGAGTAGCTTCTCCGTGATGACCGTTTCAATGCCACAAGCTTCAGCAAGTACAGCTGAAAAACTGAAAAGTTTTCTTTCGTGTACGACTCATATTTTCAAATAAATTGGGGATTAAAATTTAGCCGGTCTTAGTTTTGATCACTAATGTAGCATTTTTTATCCAAGTTACATAAATCTCTTAAGTCATTGATTTACACCTGAATTTCAATGCAATGAATGCATCAATGCAATGCAATGCAATGCAATGAATGAATTTCAATGCAATGAATTACACCTGAATTGATTATAGCCTTATTTCCCTATTCAAAATTCTCTTGATCTTTTCAGTTATAAGACAACATGCGGCAAACAATTTTCTCTAAACAAATAGATGCAGTAGCGAGAAAATGCACTTTTGAGAGCAGCTCATTTTGATGATGGTAAAAACAAGAAGCAACCTGTTTCATTTACCGGAGGCCAACTTTAGCACATAAACTTTTTCAAAAATTCAGAAATTTGAGGCATGTTATGCGATAATGGTTTGGTTTATTTGATTAAGGCAAAGTACTTGAGGGCTTAACTATAATGGGCAAGAAAAAGCAACCTTGAATTGGCGTAGTTTTGAGTATATATATACAGGGGTTGGACAAAAATATGGAAACACCTTTAAAAAAACATGTTTCTTTGCTTAATATGGTGTAGGGAACTCGTTGGCATCCAAAACAGCTTGCAGTCTTCTCGGAATGGATAAATACAGTTCCTGTATGTTTGCCAAGGGAATATTATACCATTCTTCCTGCAAAACGGTGGCAAGTTCAGATAACGATGTTGGCGGTGGATAACGAGAACGCACTTTCCGTTCCAATGTAGACCACAAAGGTTCGATAATATTCAGGTCTGGTGACTGTGGTGGCCAGGGGAGATGGGACAACTCATCCTCGTGCTCAGAAAATCAGTCCTGGACAATGTGAGCTGTGTGAACAGGGCTTTGTCGTCTTGGAAGACACCTTCACCATCGGGGAACAAAGTTTGTACCATGGGATGAACTTGATCGGCCAAAATATTCACATAAGTCTTAGCAGTCATGTGCCCTGACACAGTTATCATGGGGCTAGCAGAGAACCACGATATGACTGCCCAAACCATAACAGAACCCCCGCCATGTTTCACTCTTGGCAACAAGCAGTCTGTATTATAGGCTTGAGATGGCGTTCTCCAGACGTAAACTCGGCCAGAAGTGGGAAACAATGTGAAAGAAGACTCGTCAGACCATATTACTCGCTTCCACTGCTCTATAGTCCAGGCTTTACGACTTAAACACCACCTTTTCCTGTTACGGGCATTAGCATCACTGATGAGTGGCTTCTCGATTGCAGCACGGCCAGCAATTCCCTGTTTATGAAGCTCCCTTCTAACTTTCGTCCGCGCTGTGATTTAGCAGATGATGTTTTTCCGCTTTTCAAATATGCGGAATAAATCTTCGATACAGTACCTCTTGAAACACTAAACACCTCGGCTACCTTGCTTACGGAAGCACCTACCATACGTGCTCCAACAATTTGCCCACGTTCGAAGTCTATTAACTCTGACATAATGCAATGACAACCTCACATAACAGTACTCCGACAACAACTGAACTGTTTAGCACATTTACGAAGTTGTATAGGTGGCGTCAGTAGTCAAAAATGCCAGCGCCACCTACATATTTAATTAAAATCAATCTTTCTTTTCAAACATGCATTTCACAAGGTGTTTCCATATTTTTGTCCATCCACTGTATATTCCCATGCAGCTAAAAAAGAGGACTGTCCTTGAAACCGCTAGATTAATTCAAAAATTAATCTAATCTAAGATTGATTTTTTTTACTTAATTATAAAATTTACATTAGCGTGTTTCTCTTTCGATTTGATATACTAACGGATATTTTTTAAATAGCCTAACTTATAGTCACATCTATACACACACATTGCATTTCAATAAATATAAGATCGTTGTTCTAATATTGACAAAACAACTTTGCTCACACTATCAGGTTCAGTGTTCCTCCTTACTTGCTTTGGGAACATTAAATGACCTGACTCAGAACAGGGAGCTTACTAAAGCTATGTTCAATAAATGTGGGAAGTAGACAAGATACACAGGAAGGGTATACGAAACCCTTTATTTTTCTCTCTTTACAATGATTTCCGGACTTCGGAATACAGAGACCAACCACTTGTGGTCTGAACGTAAGAATATAAAAATATTAACTAAATTCTAACTAAACTAACTTTGGATTAATAAACAAGTGTCTACTTGAAGATTGACCGTATATTAACAGAAAGGCTGTATCTAGTACAGAGAACTGTTAACACTACGATACGTTTAAAATTATCAAGAGGATTAAACCTCTGGCCTTGAAGGCAACCAGCAACTGAGTAAAACTGCAATGGCAAGCGGCCTGCTCCTAATCACTCCTTCCTCTCTTGCTTGGCAAAAAGCCACAACTTAAGTACTTGGCGTTCGCAAGACAAATTTGCATAAATAAGTTAAAGCTTTTAATTCTGGCCGGAAGTAGAAAATAAGAAGTGATAGTAAAGATTTAAAATAAAATAAACGTTAGTAAAACTTAAGATCCTTACATACTTCGCGCCAGAGTTAATTAGTTTGAAACTGAGGTCTAAAACGACCTTGTTGAAAACTTTTAGCTCTAGAATCTAACACGAGGCCAATCTTTTACAAACATTTCTCACTAGAAACTAGAAATTTAAATAAAATCATTTTTACATTATCAATTCCATGGACAATTACTTTTCATCTGTACTGCATCTAAACAGGAGCTCTTAGTTGAAATCTGGAAGGAAAA